AGGAAAGAAAGAAAGAAAGAAACGGGGGGGGGGGGGGGGGGGGAGAAGAAGAAGAGACCGGCCGCACTGCTGAACAATGCAGTTTTGAATTCAATTAAAGTGATTATCTGTTGTGCCAAATAAATTGTGTACAGCATATATCCTGTAGCAGTTTACACCTAAAGGCTCATTATTTTCCTAACGGTTTCCTCCTGTTTATGTGCTTTCAAATTAAATTGCTGATAATATGCGCCCAAGTTTAAAAAAAAAAAAAACGAGTGCACCTTGTCCGAAGAAAATTGATTCTCCTTTCCTCCTGAAGGGAGCGATTGCCAGTTTTTATATACTCAGTTCCTGGCGGTCATTAGTAATTCAATTTTCTTTTTATTAGCCCCCTTATCTGCTGAGCAATATAGTGGCAGGGCTGACCTCTTTCGCACGGGTAAATGTTTAAAATCTTTTCCCTGATTAATTTTGCCAGTTAAGGAAAAGAGGAGAAATGGCCCAGCTCTTAGCCATCACAATGAATATAGCTTAATGTTGATGGTGATGGAATTTCTAATGCCAGGGAAATTGATTGAACGCAGCAATTACGGCTCGCTCCTAACTCAAGGGAAATGGGATAGCGTTCTCCTGGCCACAGTCTTTTGGTTATTTAAAACAATCCAATTTGCAAGGATAATTATATATTAGTGTTTTATCTGCCACTTGAAATGAACATGGGAGTTTTGATACTGGCCCGGCAATCGCAGGTTATTGCTGCAAATTACCCGGTATCTGCTTTCTTTCACATAAAGAGCGAATTAGGCAATCAATTACCAGAAAAAGGTGGGCCAGGGAAACAGGAGGGCCAAGACTGCCCTCTACAGGTCAGGGGGAGGCGTCACGTGAGCCTCGGCTGAAGGGGGAGGCGGGGGGGGGACGCACGCAGCAAGCCGCCCCACTGCTCCAGCCTCTGGAGTAGGCCCCCAACATGATGATAGAGAAGGAGGAGGAGGGAGGATAAAGGAAAAGAGGAAGAGGAGGAAAAAGAAAGAGAAGAAGGGGAGAAGAGGAGGAGCAGATAAAAAGAAAGAGGAAGAAGAGGAAGGAGGAGAGAGGGAGAGGAGGAAATAGTAGAGGAGGAGGTGAAGAGGAGGATAAAAAGAGAAAGGGAGAGGAGGAGAAGAGGGAAAGGGAAGGTGGAGGAGGAAGTAGAGGAAGTAGAGAAAGAGGAGGAGGAGGAGGAGAAAGAAGAAGAGGAAAAAGAGGCAGGGCCAGAAATGGGCTGCACCTAGCAGCTTGCTATCTGTTGCAACTAAACAGGCCCTAATCAAATTACCTACAGGACCTCATTATCAGAAGGGACCCCCCAGCCTCCCCAAGCCCTGGCCCCAGGCCCCCAGCACCGAGAAGCCCCAGGGTTCAGAACATGGAGGGGTTGCAATGGCGTTGATTTTCAAAGCTGAGCAAAAGCTCACAGCCCGAACATTAGCCCTTTCCTTGCGGGCCTAAGGGCCTGCTCACCTGGTGCACCTGCCGGCTTTCAGATTCCCTTTCGAAGGCCACGCATGTTCAGGTCTCAGGTAACGGCCGCGAAACTCATGCCAACTGCCATGGAGTTACAACGGGCAGCATCGCAAATGGCCCAACGGATCTCGTTCGTAAATCTGGACCTTTTTTACACTCCTCTCGATTACAGGTGGTCCTCGACTTACGACCGCAACTGAGCCCCCAACATTTGTTAAGTGAATTCTGCCCCATTTTACTTTTCTTGTCACAGTCACTAAGCGAATCATCCCGGTTGTTAAGTCAGTAATACGGTTGCTAAGTGAATCTGGCTTCCCCGTTGACTTTGCTCACAAAAGGGGGAATCACGTGACTCCGTGTCAGAGTGCACACAGTGTGACTCTTTTGAGACAACCCAGGAGCAAACTACAGTAAACAGGTTCGTCTTTTAACTAGTGGTTTATCTACAAGGAATATATACATACACATACTAGGAAAATTCAGGCAATTAATCATCAATTACAGCATGGAAACACACACACACACAGAAAGAGAGAGAGACACCCTCACAGGGCCTCTCTTATAAAACAGCCTCTCAAAGTGGTAAAGAGCCAAATAACCCTGCTGACTCACTACTACTACCATTGCATCATCATTACAGCATTACAGTATTACAGCAGCTGGTCAGCTATTAAAACATCATTACCCTGACACTCCGGGACACTGCAACCGTCATAAGTACATGCCAGTTGCCAAGCCTCTGAATTTTGATCACGTGACCGTGGGGATGCTGCCACCCATGGTCGTGAAAATTGGAAACAAGTCACTTTTTTCAACGCCGTTCTAACTTCAAATGGTCACTGAACGAACGGTTGTAAGTCGAGAACACCCTATATAATCGGGACTGAAAGCTTGACTTCGCCAATCGTATGCCCAAAATCTATTACGAAATCCTGTCTTAGTCACAAGGCACCACAACAACAAAACCTACCAACATCCGCCCAAACACGAACTTACACCCTGCAACGAGTCGCACCTAATAATAATAATAATAATAATAATAATAATAATAATAATAATAATTTTATTTCTATACCGCCCTTCTCCCGAAGGACTCAGGGAGGTGTACAGCCTATTTAAAAACAGAATCAACATCAATTTAAAATAATTTTAAAATATTAAATAAATTTGGCTTAATTTAAAACCCCAAAAATGTAAAACATCCAATTTAAAATTATGTTGCTAACCCAGCCTGGCAGAACAACAGGGTCTTGAGTGCGCAGCGAAATACCCGGAGGTCGGGGATCTTACGTATTTCCGGGGGCAGTTCGTTCCACAGGGCTGGGGCTCCCACAGAGAAGGCCCTCCCCCTGGGTGTCGCCAGCCCACATGACTTGGCCGATGGCACCCTGAGGAGACCCTCTCTGTGGGAGCGGACTGGTCGGTGGGAGGCTATCGGTGGCAGAAGACGGTCTCGAAGGTACCCGGGTCCCATGCCATGGAGCGCTTTAAAGGTGGTGACCAACACCTTGAATCGCACCCGGAAGACCACTGGGAGCCAGTGCAGCTCGCGCAGGAGGGGTGTCACGTGGGCGCAACAGGTTGCACCCATAACCACCCGCGCGGCCGCATTCTGGACCAGTTGGAGCCTCCGGGTGCTCTTCAAGGGGAGCCCCATGTAGAGAGCGTTGCAGTAGTCCAACCGGGAGGTAACAAGGGCGTGAGTGACTGTGCGCAAGGCGTCCGGTCCAGAAAGGGCTGCAACTGGTGAATCAGGCGAACCTGATAAAACCTAATAAATATTGGTCATAAACAATAGGTCAAAAAAAAAAATAGGTCTTTTTCTAGGAACAGCACAAAACACTAGTCGTAAAAAGGAGATGCAAACGTGAAAAGCAGAAACACGACAGCTTTGAGCGAGGGTAGGCTGAATAATCTAAGCCATTTTTTTTTCTTCCCATTTAAAGATTAAAAAAAAAAAAACGTGTGAAAGACTTGTTTTTCCCTGCAATTCTGTTTATGAGTTAGTCGGAGTCAGCCGGCGGGGAGTAGACTAAATAAAGAGGCAACAAAACAACTGTAAAGCACATCTGTCTTTGAAACCTCACCCCGCCCCCCAGATCTTCAAACAGCTTTCTGAAATTGTCAACATTTCAAAAGCCGCAAAAATGCCAGAAAGATGCCGAGCTCAGCCCTTCTGCCTAAACGCTCAGCGGAGAGATAAGTTTTTTTATTTTTATTTTACACTTGTTCCAAGTAAATCAAGGGACGGAGGGGCCTTCTTCCTCCCATCGTCTTCCTCTTCAAGGTACAGGCAAGTCAGGCAAAGAAAGCCGGGGCAACTGAGAGCCAAAGAGTCACGTCCCAAAGCTCAGATCCTAGGTGGGTATCAGCAAACCATAAGCCACAGGCCACAGAAGCCCCCCAACCCCCCAATCGTTAGTGATCGGCCGACACCCCAAATTTCCACGACCAAAATCTCTGAAAATCAGGTAATTTTCAACAGCTCAATCCTGAATACAGACAGAGTGATAAAAACCTGGGGTTTTTTTTAAAAAAATCAAAAAAATCAGATTTTTAAAAAATTTAAATCGGATTTTTTTTTTCATTTTTATCAAATTTATTTTCATAAAATGCTTTTGGAGTAAAAATCTATCTAAAGAGGGTTTTCTATTTATTTATTATTTATTTATTTATTTATTTTATTCAATTTATTTTATTTTATTCAATTTGTATACCGCCCTTCTCCTAGTGGACTCAGGGCGGTGCACAGCCAGAACTAAAACACATACCAGTACAAAATTTAAAATTATTAAAAGAATTACATAACTTTGGCCCAAATTTAAAACAATTCAAATTAAAACCCATTGACAATTTAAAAAGCTAAAAAACTAAAAAAGACTAAAGAAGGGGGGTATTTAAGATACATTAATAATTTAGTACATTCCGCGTGAAACGGAGCTTCATTGTGTAGCAGGAGGCTGTATATTCTGCAATATTTACATTCTTGGTAAACTCATTCAATGAATCCAACCTCCGCAAGCTGAGATAACCCGCACTGCATGGATGCATTCACGCTTCACAGCAGAGATGACATTTGCTCTTTAAAAATCATGATTTAAATCAAGTTGATTGAAATCAAGCCTTTTTACCGGCGATTTAAATCGTGATTTAAATCAAATCCACCCTGAACATGGATCACAAGGTTTTTCGGAAGTGGGAGGCAGCCCACCCCTATCCCCACCCTTAAAACACCACAAATGGGGTACTGCAACCTCCGGGACCCCCGGGCTTTCCTAGCCCTCCAGGTGATGAGAGAAAAGACCCTCATCAGTCCCGATTGTTTGGCTAGAAATCCTCTCAAAATATCAGCGTTCGGATCGGAACAGGGATAACCACCCCAAGAGAACCACAATAGCTGGCCTCTCGGCACGCAACGGTCTCGGCTTGGCCACCCATCCAGAGTCGAGGGCGGCTGGTCAAACTCGCTCTCGCCACCAAGCCAGCATCTCCCAATTCAAAGCATCTCTTACCTTCTTTGGGCGAACCAGGAAGAACGCGAGAGGCCGGCAGCCGGCGCAACCTGTGCTTGCCGATCTGCACGAGGCCCTTTGTGCCGGTTCTGCGGGCGGTGGGGGAGGACCTTCCCCGCGTGGGGTGGCGCTTCCGGAGGCAGTAGCGGCTTTTGAGGAGCAGAGTGGGAGAGCTGGAAGGAGAAGCAGAGCGCGGGTCAGAATCCTTCACCGCAAAGGCACCTCGGACACAAACAGCGCATCTGCAAAGGCACCACGCGGAAAGGGTACCACACGGAAAGCTCTTGTGCACCTAATGCAGACCAGAGGGGCAAAGGACCATTCATTGGTTCCCTGACGAAAAGCCCCAATCCTCTCTGGGAGCAAAGTGCAAGCAAAGCATGAAACCCCCTGGGCAGGAGCTTCGTCACACGCACTTTGTTCTCTAAACGTGGCTTCTGGCCACAAGGAAGCATTCCGACATCTCCCCTCACCACAAAACTGGGCCTTCCCCTCCATCTTGTTGAATTCGGCAAGCTTGCAGAATCCATAACTTTTGCAAAGTTAAATCAGCCCAGGTCTAGACAGGTAGTCCTTGACTTACAGCCAAAATGTAGGTTGTTAAGTGAGAATAAAATAAAATGCATTTTTTTTCCCCAAACAGGAAGAGCCTATCAGGATCGAACTGCTAGCAGTGGGCAGTTAGCCTGAAATACTGCATTCTAACCACTATGCCACCCTTCCTTCCTTCCTTCCTAGCACTAGCTCTTAGAATTATATCCCGCTTCACAGTGCTTTGCAGCCCCCTCTAAGCGGTTTACAGAGTGAGCCTCTTGCCCCAAACAATCTGGGTCCTCATTTTACTGACCTCAGAAGGATGGAAAGCTGAGTCAACCTTTGAGCCTGGTGAGATTTGAACTGCCAAATTGCAGGCAGCCGGCAGTACTGCACTCTAACCACTGCGCCACCACAACTCTTACACATTATGCACATTAGCTGACTTTATCTTATCCATCTTCATAAAACTGCATTGTCTTTCAGCGAATCGGTCTTCCCCCGGTTCATCGCAGGTAAGCGAGCCTGGCTAACCTCTACTGGAGTCCCCAACTATGGCATTGCCTGAACCCACTTCCCCCACAAAAGGCAGGTTTTGTGGCAGGAGAAAATGGTAATTCTGTTTCATGGAACATGTGGATTCATACGTTAATTTAAGATTAAAGATTGTAACTGTGATTTGTGATCTATGACCTATTACTTGCTTTTTGTATGTACGCTGTGAACTTATGCACTGGAGACAAATTCCTTGTGTGTCCACTTGGCCAATAAAGAATTCAATTCTTTTCCTATTCCTACTCTCTACATTCCATTTTTTATTAGTCTATCCTCTCCTCTCCTCTCCATTCCATATTTTATTATTCTGTTCTGTTCTGTTCTATTTCTCTATATCTAATAGTCTCTTCTTCATTTTTCACTTTTCTTCTCTCTTTTCTTCCTCTATTCCATCCCATCCCATCCCATCTATTCATTATCCTATCCTATCCCTCTATTCTTTTCTTCATTCCTCTATTCTGTTCTGTTCTGTTCTATTCTATTTTTCATTTTTCTCTTCTCTTCTTTATTCCTCTCTCCTATCCTGTCCCCTATTCTCTTCTTCATTCCTCTATTCCATTCCATTCCACACCACTTCACTCATAACCAGGATGAGCAATATAAGTTAAGAGAAAAGGGGAAAAAAACAACAACAATTGGAACAAAGATCCTCCTAGCAGGACCAGGAACTCACCTGGCGCTTCCTTTCCTCTTCGTGGTTTTCGGCCAGCTCCTCAGTCTGTAGTTAGAAAAGCCGCTCGTTCCAAAGAAGACTCTTGGGCTGCCAGGTCCGTGAGGGACCCGCCTCAGCACTTGGAGGGAGGTGCTGGCACCCACACAGGGGGCCTCCCCGGGCCCAGCCCCTTCCTTGCGCTTCCAAGTGAAGACCGATGCCGATGTGGAAGGAGCAGACTTCGCACTCGCCGCTTTCCACCTGTACTGGCTGGAGGAAACCGCCAGCTTCGAATGCGGGGTGGGTTTCTTTGGCTTGGCCCCCAGCTCGAGCTGTGCTCCCCTGGATTGTAACTTGGGGGAGGTCGCTGCCCCGCAGGTGGCAAACTTGGGGTTGCTTTCGGGGGTCCTGGAAACGGCCCACCGCTTCACGCTTCGAGGGGATTTGCCGGGATTTGCCACCCAGGTGTAGTTGGCTCTCTTGAAGCGGAAAGACCTGCCGGAGGCCGGCAAGGAAGACGACTTCTGGAGCGTAACGATGGCGGGCTTGTTTGGGGGAAGACTCGACCCAGTGCTGGAAGACGCCTCCTCGCCCGAATGGGCAGACAGCCCCACGCTCCTGCTGGGGCTGAACCTGGCTGTCCCTGCAGGGGAGGGGCGGCGGGATGACCCATACAGGTGTGAAGGCTCAGGTGCTGGCTTCTTCCAGATTGGGAGAGACCCTGTTCCTTGTTCAGCCGAGGCCAGACACCGGCGAGGCTCAGATTTCAACGTAACGGCACTCTCGCTGATACTCCTGCCTAAAGTGGGGGTCAGCTTGCTCCCCCCAATGGGCTTCTTCTGACCGGCCGCCGGTCGGTTATTTCCACCCGTAGCCAGATTTTTGCAACGGGGTACGTGGGACGAAGTGGAAGCGCCCATATCTTTGTTGTGTCTCGAGTCCGCGTTGAAAGGCCAAGGAGCCACGGATGGGCTGCCCCTAGAAGACGACGGTGCCTTTCTCGATCCGGAAAAGCCCGGCGAGAACCCTGAGCCGGTGGCATCACCCGCCAGGGAGCCAGCTGGCCGGCTGACATTTGCCTTTGCACTGGAGACGGCCTTCGCTTCCGAAAGCGTCAGTGGTGGCTTGGGAGCCTCCCTACCGGCCCGGCTCTGGGCCGCCCAGGAAGTCCCCGGAGAAACGCTGGTGGCCGAAGACAGGGCTGGTCTAGGCGGGGCGTTGACGAGAGAGTATTTCTTCCTCCAGGTAGTTGCGTTGGCCTGGCCGGATGAGAAATCTCGGGAGGGTTGCTGGCTGTATCTAGTGCTGAGGGCCGCTTGGCTTTGAAAGGCAGGAAGTTTAGGGTTCCTCCACCTGGAGACCGAAGCAGGCGGTGGAGGAACTGGCGCATTCCCATGGACGTTTTTATGGTCATTGATGAGACCTGAATAACAGAACAACAGAGTTAGAAGGGACCTTTGGAGGTCTTCTAGCCCACCCCCGCCTGCTTAAGCAGGAGGCCCTATAACATTTTACAGGTGTAGACATTTTTACGTGATAGAAAACTTGTTACGGCCTTCCTTTCCAGAGTTGTTAAGTGAACTTAACACTGCAGTTGTTGTTAGTAAGTTGTTCAGTCAATCTGGCTTCCCTATTGAGTTTGCTTGTCAGAAAGTTGCAAAAGGGGAACACAGGATCCCGGGACACTGCAACCGTCATAAATATGAATCAGCTTCCAAGAATCCGAATTTGGATCACCATAGGGACAGCAATAGCAATAAGACTCATATACCGCTTTACAATGCTTTCCAGCCCTCTCTAAGCGGTTTACAGAGTCAGCCTCTTGCCCCCAACAATCTGGGTCCTCATTTTACCCACCTCGGAAGGACGGAAGTCTCAGTCAACCATGAGCCTGTTGAGATTCGAACTGCCAAATTGCAGGTAGCTGGCAGTCAGAAATAGCCTGCAGTGATACATTCTAACCACACCACCACCGTGGCTCATGGGCAGAGTTAGCCTGCAATACTGCAGTCTAACCACTGTGCCATCACAGTCCTTCCTTCCTTCCTTCCTTCCTTCCTTCCTTCCTTCCTTCCTTCCTTCCTTCCTTCCTTTCTTCCGACAGGTTTCCAAGTAAGATCCCCAACCAAATCAAACTTCGAGGCTTGAGTTTCCTCAAAGCTAATTTTTATTAGAGATGTCACATTGGCACATCCGGAAAACCCGAATCTGAGAACTTCTGGGTTTTCCTCACCCAAAAGAAAGTTCAAGTCCTTGCCCATCACCCACATGGCCGTCACATCAACCAATCAGAACAGAAGATAACTCCTCATTCTTCTCAGCACAACTGCAGGGCAAAGTGGCCTTGACTTTCTGGAAAGAATGTTATTTTGACTACCTATCATCTTCACTCCATACGATGCCCCCTCCCATTTTCCCACAGTAGAATTTGTGGCAGGCCTGAAGGCTCAAAGGTAAAAGATGGCTTCCAGGTCTGACTCCTTCCTTACTTCCTTCTTAGCAATAGCACTTAGATTTACCTACCGCTTTACAATACTTTCCAGCCCTCTCTAAGCGGTTTTACAGAGTCAGCCTCTTGCCCCCAACAATCCGGGTCCTCATTTTACCCACCTTGAAAGGACAGAAGACTGATTCAACCTTGAACCGGTCAGGATCAAACTGTTGAACTGCTGGCAGCCGGCTGTCAGCAGAATTAGCCTGCAGTACTGCATTCTAACCACTGCGCCACCACAGCTCCGGTCATGAAAAACGGTCATAAGTCACTTTTTTCATTGCCATTGTAACTCTGAACAGTCCCTAAACAAACGTTTGTAAATTGAGGATTATCTGTAATGGTTAGCTCCCTTATGGTTGCAGATCAAGAACCACCTGCAGGCAGAAGTTGGAAGTCTAAAACTTTACCCGCAGCTCTTCCTGCAGACCCTGAAACATGGGGGACATCCTAAAAGAAAAAATGCAATGAATGGCCTAAATATTCTTTGTAGCTGTGCATGGAGGAGGCGACCCTGTGCAGCTCGCTCGTCTGGCGATGCATTTACTGAGCATCATCCTTGATTTTGGCTTATTCAGATAGCGGCTGACATCTTATCTGCCCTGCCGGAGAAGCTAACACCAGGTGGGGCAGGATTAGATAAAAGTCAGGACGGAAAGCCTTGTTAGCTACCTTCCAAGCCAGCATAAAAGCACAACTGTTTTAGCCTTCCGCATATCCTCTGTGTGTGTGGTGTGTGTGTGTGTGTATGTGTGTGTGTGTGTGTTGAGTGGTGAAAGGTGCGCAGTTTGGAGGTCTGAAGGGAGCACGTTAGCAACAAATCATTCTGGGAGGGGAAAAATCTATTTATGTGGTTGCTGGAGATGGACTTAATGGCACCTAATCAATCAATCGAAGTCTTGGGGAGATTGTCCTGCTATTGATCAAAAGAGCAGGATATTCTTCAAATATTTCAGGGCAGGAGAACCTGGTGCAAATCACCAGGGAACCATATCGTATTTCCTATCTCCGCAGAAGCCAAGTTCAGGCCTGAGGGCTCTGAAACACCAATGATTAAATTGAACACACACACCCCACACACCCCCACCCCCAACCCCGAATTCAGGCAGGTTACACTCTGGCTTTCAAACGCTGGCCTCTTTCAAAACGATGTGCAGGTAATTCGCTACTTACAACAGTTCGTTTAGTGACCGTTCACAGTTATGACAACACTGAAAAAAGAGACTTACGACCGTTTTTCACACTTACAACCCTTGCGGCATCCTCAGGGTCACGGGATCAAAATTCCTATCCTGGGCCACTGGCTCACAATTACGACGGTTTCACTACCCCGGGGGTCACGAGATCTCCTTTTGCCACTGTCTGAAAGGAAAATCAACGGGGAAGGCCTGGCAGATTCATTTAACAACAGTGTCGCTAACTAAGAGAAGACAAAACTCACTTAATAACTGCCTCACTTGGCAAAAAAAACCTCGGGCTCAAGTGTGGCCGTACGTCGAGGACTGCCTGTGCGTGGTAGAAACAGTACCCATCAAACTTATGAGGACCCCTGGAGAGGTTCCAAATGATGGTTTTTTGTGTGTTTATCAACTCGTGGAGTCCCTAAATCCTGAGATTTAGAAGCGAAGAGCCCAAAATAAAGATTCCAGGATTGTGTGTGTAAATACAGGTAATCCTCAACTTACAACAGTTCCTTTAGTGACCATTCAGAGTTACAGCAGGAGAGAAAATGTCACTTATGGCTGTTTTTCACGCTTAAAGACCGTTGCAGCATCCCTTTGGTCATCAAAATTCAGACGCTGGGAACTGGCTCGTATTGATGACGGTTGCTGTGTCCCAAGGTCCTCTTTTGCGACCTTCTGACACCAGTTAATGAGGAAGCCAGATTCACTTAACAACCGGGTTACTAACTTATCAATTGCAGTGATTCACTTAACAACGGTGGCAGGAAAGAAAATAAAAGGGAGCAAAACTCACTTAACAACAGAAATGTTGGGCTCAACTGTGGTCATAAGTCAAGGACTATCTGTATGCTGGAAGCCAGCTCAGAGAAGCAGTTAAGGCCAGACGCCAGGAGACAGTGAGTTCTAATCTGACAAACCCGACTGGGTGACCTTGGGCCAGTCCTTCTCGCTTTTACCCCGATAAAGGAGGAGACAAGGTCAAACCACGTCTGAAAATCCGGCCCAGAGATCAGTCCAGACAGTCGCCAGGAATGAACAGAGATTCAGAAACACCTATATTATATATATGTATACCCACCACCCCGGGTTTCCTGCGGGTCCTCAGCCTAGGCCTCTCCTCCCACCGCCCGACTACAGTTCCCATCGTTCCCAGCGGAGGCCCACCTTGAATATACATATATTATACTCTAGCATTTCTCCTGTAAGTGTCTGCCTTTCTCAGGATCAGCCAAGTGTTGATTCTTTTGGTTGCAAACAGCCAGCTGGTCCGCCTGGGCCTGACATTGGGGGGTTGAGTCCTGCAGCTGGTTTTCATGCCTGAAGTGGGACTAGAACTCCCAGTCTGGTCAATCACCAGGAGAATGGGAGCTCTAGTCCCACCTTAGGCATGTAAGCCAGCTGGGGGACTTTGAGACACCTACTTTCTCTCAACCCCACAATGTCAGGCCCAGGCAACAAGCCAGCCAGATAAGACCCCCAGCTGGGTTTCATGGCTGGCGGTTCTAGAACTCCCAGTCTCCTGGTAATTGGCCCAAACTCACCCAGCCAGCTTTTGTAGCTAAGGCAGAACTAGAACTCCCCATCTCCTGGTAATTGGCCCAAACTCACCCAGCCAGCTTTCATGGCTAAGGCGGAACTAGAACTCCCCATCTCCTGGTAATTGGCCCAAACTCACCCAGCCAGCTTTCATGGCTAAGGCGGGACTAGAACTCCCCGTCTCCTGGTAATTGGCCCAAACTCACCCAGCCAGCTTTCATGGCTAAGGCGGGACTAGAACTCCCCGTCTCCTGGTAATTGGCCCAAACTCACCCAGCCAGCTTTCATGGCTAAGGCGGGACTAGAACTCCCCGTCTCCTGGTAATTGGCCCAAACTCACCCAGCCAGCTTTCATGGCTAAGGCGGGACTAGAACTCCCAGTCTCCTGGTAATTGGCCCAAACTCACCCAGCCAGCTTTTGTGGCTGAGGCGGACTAGAACTCCCGGTCTCCTGGTTTCTAACCTGAGTCCTTCACCACTGGAGCAACCTGTCTCTCCACTATTTAGCATATAGAGGCTACACACATTTTTGAATCACAATACTAGAGTTCTTCGGTGGACTTCAATCCCCAGAATTCCCGGGAGCTGAATGAAGCCCTCCAAGTCTTCAAAGCTGCCAAGTTTGGAGAGCCTCCCCCCCCCTTAGCGGTATTATAGAGCTGAGGGGCACCTCAGAGGCCATCCAGTCCAGCCCTCCCCGCCCATTAACAGCCCCAGGGAAGGGGAGGGGGGGTGACAGTCTCTGTATTCCCCTCCCCCCAAGGGCCTGGGGCAGGGCCTGCTGTGGCCGGGCCCCTAGTGGCCCCCGCTGACCCCCCACCCCCCTATGAAGGGCCCCGCCCGAGGAAAGAGGGAGGGAGCCCGGCCTGCTCCCACCACCGCCCCGCCCGGCTTTCCTCCGGGGGCCCTCAGGCCGGGCCTCTCCTCCCGCCGCCCGACTACCGTCCCCATCGGCCCCAGCGGAGGCCCACCTTGAAGCAAGCGGATCTGCCGCCTCAGCCGCTCCTCCTCGGGCTCCATCCGAGCCTCCAACCGCCGCCGGCGCCCCTGTGACGCCATCGCCGCGCGACGGGCCCCTTTTTCGCGCGTCGCGGCCTCTAGAGGGCGAGCGAAAAGCGAGCAACCCGACACTTCCGGCTCTGCGGCGAAAGGGAACTCAAGAGAGGGAGGGGCGGCCCGATTTCCTATCATTTCCCCCAAGCCGCCCAGCCCTGCCTTTCTTATAGCGGGGCCTAGCTCAAGCCCCGCCTGCTTTCCTGCTCGTCCGCCAACAGCGTAAGGGTGCTCACTCTAACCTCTCCCTGGTAGACTGCCTCTGGATATGGAGGCTCCACAGCTCAAGAACTGGATGTGGCTTTCTGGATTGGAGAAAGAAGGGAGTGACGCTTCCCCCTGCCATCATAACAATGACGCTTTCATTGGACGGAACGTTAAGAGAATTGGAGGGGGACCTCCGAGGTCTTCTAGTCCAACCCCTCCTTGCTCAAGCAGGAGACCCTATACAGGCAGTCCTCGGCTTACGAACACAACGGAGCCCCAAAATTTCCGTTGCTAAGCGAGACAATGCTTTCCCCCATTTTTACGACCTTTCCTGCCACAGTTGTTAAGTGAAGCGCTACAGTTAGTCACGCGGTTGTTAAGCAAATCTGGCTTCCCCGTTGGCTTTGCTTCTCGGAAGGTCGCAAAAAGTGGTCACGGGACACTGCAACGGTCATAAATGCGAGTCAGTTGCCAAACGTCTCGATTTTGATCACCTGACCATGGGGATGCTGCAACGGTCATAATTGTGAAATAGCAATAGCACTTAAGACTTATATCCCGCTTCACAGGGCTTTTGTTGGGGTTCCAAATAACACCTCCCACAAAAGAAAACTCCGAGGCTTGAGTTTCCTCAAAGCTCCATTTTATTAGAAATATTATATTTTCAGATCTGGGTTTTCCTTCCAGGTTTTCCCCACCTAAAAGAAAGTTCAAGTCCCTTCCCCTGCACCCACATGTCCATCACGTGGCCCAATCAATGCACCGTCCCAACTGGAGATGCCTCCCTGTTCCAGCCCTCCAGGTGCAGGGCAGGATGTCCTTGACTCTCAGAGAAAAGAATGTTATTATGACTACATATCACCCTGGCTCCGTACAATCCCCCTCTCCCAATTTCCCACAGTAGCAGTAAATGTGGCAGGCCTGAAGGCCCAAGGCAAATAAAGATGGCTTCCAGGCCTGACAGCTTTCCAATCCTCTCTTTACAGAGTCAGCCTGTTTCCCCCAACAATCTGGCTCCTCATTTTACCGACCTCGGTAGGACGGAAGGCTGAGTCAACCTTTGAGCCTGGTGAGATTCCAAGTGCCAAATTACAGGCAGCCGGCAGGCAGCAGAAGGAGCCTGCAGTACTGCACTCTAACCACTGCGCCACCGCAGCTCATAAACGGTTCCTAAGTCACTTTTTTTCAGGGCCGTTGTAACTTTGGACGGTCGCTAAATGAACTTGTAAATCGAGGACTCCCTGTACCGTTGGAGACAGCTGGTGGTCCAATCTCTTGGAAAGCCTTCCTGCTTGCATGGATTTTGCAAACATTTTTCCTGCTTTGAAAGGAGCTTCCCTGCTTCTTTTCTGAAGAGAAGCCAATTCCATCGTCCCTCCGCCAGGTGTTACACACATCTGCACGCAGTTGTAAAGAAGCACCTTTCGTTCCTGACGCGCAGACATGCATTCACCTTCTGGGCGTATCCCATCACACTTCAATGGTGGGTTTCAAACATTTTTACTACCGGTTCTGTGGGTGTGGCTTGGTGGGCGTGGCATGGCTTGGTGGGCGTGGCAGGGGAAGGATACTGTAAAATCTCCATTCCCACCCCACTCCAGGGGAAGGTTAGTGCAAAATCCCCATTTCCTCCCGATCAGCTGGGACTTAGGAGGCAGAGAATAGATGGGGGCGGGGCCAGTCATAATTTTTACTATCGGTTCTCCGAACTACTCAAAATTTCCGCTACCGGTTCTCCAGAACTGGTCAGAACCTGCTGAAACCCACCTCTGCATCACTTACTCTCCGGGAGTGGTGCTGGAATGGACACTGATGCGTTACAAATTTACCGTTGCAAATTCCACATCTGATTGACAGGTTGCAAATTTAATACATTAAAATAAAATAAGTAAGAGGGAGGGTCACCCTTTGCAACAGCGAGCAAATTGCAAATCTGACTTGCAGGTTGCAGATTTAATAAATACAGGTAGTCCTCGACTTGCAAGAGATCGTTTAGTGACAGTTCAAAGTTATAACGGCACTGAAAAGACTGTCTTTATGTCCGGTTTTCACAGTTACGACCGCTGCAGTGTCCCCATGGTCACGTGATCAAAATTCAGCCGCTTGACAACTGACTCATATTTATGACAATCACAGGATCCCAGGGTCATGTGATCAACTTTTGAGACCTTCTGATAGGCAAAAGTCAATGGGGAAGCCAGATTCACTTAACAGCCATGTGACTCACTTAACAACTGCAGTGCTTTGTTTAATGACTGAGGCCAGAAAGGTCATAAAACGGGGCAAAACTCACTGAACAAATGTCTCACTTAGCGACAGAAATTTGGGGCTCTGTTGTGGTTGCAAGTCGAGGACTACCTGTAAAATAAATAAGAGGGAGGTCACCCTTTGCAAAAGCGAGCAAACTGCAAATCTGACTTGCAGCAGGGTGGACATTTAATAAATGTTAAATTTAGAAAAGAACATAAAATAAAATAAAATAATAAATAAAATAAAACAATAAAATAATAAATAAAATAATAATAAAATAAAATAAAATAATAAATTAAATTAAATAATTAAATAATTAAAATAAAATAAAATAAAATAAAATAATAAAATAAAATAAAATAAAATAATAAATAAAATAAAACAATAAAATAATAATAAAATAAAATAAATAATAAATTAAATTAAATAATTAAATAATTAAAATAAAATAAAATAATAAAATAAAATAAAATAAAATAAAATAAAATAAAATAAAATAAAATCAACGACAGGAGGGGGTCACTTTTGCAAAAGCGATCAGAGTCTTTGAAGCCCCCCCTGCTATGTGCAATGGCAAAGGCCCCCTCCTCCCGTCCCCCCCCAGGAAAAGAGAGCCTGTTTAGGACCGTTAAACTCTTTTCGCCCGGAAGAAGTGGCTCGTTCATCCTTATAATTAATGCAGCCTCCTCGCTCCGGCGCTAGGACCCCAATTAACTCACTGACATGTCGGAAACCGGAGCTGCCTGGGGGGTGGGGGAGAGGGGAGGGGGCTCCTGATGGTTTAGTAGAAAGAGCTGAGTGCAGCACAACTGCTCCACTCTGCAAGAGCTGAGCCAGCAGATTGCAGAAACCTGGAAAGGGAGAGTCGGGGTGGGTGGGTGGGGGCGGGGAAGATAAAGGGGCGGGGGGGAGCATCAACGGCAAAGTGCAGCCAGCTCACCTTCTCTGGAAGACCCTTGGCCAGGGGTTTTTCCAAACAGCATTCCCAGGAATTCCTACCCAAGTGTTTTGCTCCGCTTTGAAACCCACTTGTGCAAAAATCCTGGGTGTTGATAAATGCATTGCTCAAAAGGCCCTTCTTGATGAAGCCGATTGGATTAGGATGGGAGACCACTAAGCGATCCCAAACGGGGGCCTGGACTGGGAAATTGGAAAAGCTGTTCCAGAATGGGTCGGGGCAAATTGCCTCTGTATCACTACATATGAGCAGGGGGTTGGACTAGAAGACCTCCAAGGTCCCTTCCAATTCTATTATTCTGTTCTGTCCTGTCCTGTCCTGTCCCGTTCCGTTCCATTCCACTCTATTATTCCATTCTGTTCCATTGTTCTGTTCTGTTCCATTCCATTTCATTCCATTCCACTCTATTATACTATTCTATTCTGTTCTGTTCTGTTCCGTTCTCTTCCCTTCCGTTTCGTTCCGTTGTTCTGTTCTAGTCTAGTCTAGTCTAGTCTAGTCTAGTCTAGTCTAGTCTAGTCGTCCTGTCCTGTCCTGTCCCATTCTATTCCGTTCCATTCCACTCTATTATTCTGTTCTGTTCTGTTCTGTTCCCTTCCTTTCCTTACGTTCCATTCCGTTCTGTTCCATTCCGTTCCCTATTCTATTCTAAGGATTAGAGGAGTCAGTTGCCGAGCCTCTGAATTTTGATCACATGGCCACAGGGATACTGCCACGGTCATAAGTGTGAAAAACAGCCCTAGGCCCCCTTTTCTCAGTGCCATTGTGACTTCGGTCACTAAATGAACTGTTGTAAGTCGAGGACTACCCGAATACTTAGACACAACTCCGGGCAGCTTACAATCGAGTACAAAAACCTGCCGAAACGCAACGTTCGTTTGTTTATTTAGAGTTTTGGAGGCTCCGAACAACTGTGTGGAGCTTGTACGTGAAACACCGCAAGGAATAAGAAGCAACGTCCAGGATAACACGACACACACACAACGTTCCCCCCAAAACGAAGGCGGCCGTGACTTTGGGAGCCTTAAGCAGCCTCCTGCCGGCCTCCTTCATGGAGGGATTGGGGGATGCTGAGGAAGCCCTCCGGACTCCTCTTCCTCTTGTAGGGACTGTCCTCAAACTGCGGCTTCTCTTTCTCTCCCGGCTGGAGGCAGCAAAACATCCGTGCCAGGGCTGAGGGGATGGGCGAGGCAGAGGCCGAAGCCGCCCGAAGGACCTCCTTCACCTGCAGGATGGAGACGGAGGCCACCTCGGCAATGGAGGGCTCCGGATCGCTCAGCAGGCAATCGAGGCCTAGAACCAAAAAAGAAAAGACTTCAACTCCCAGCATTCCCCAGCCAGCCTGCTTTAAGATGGGTGGGACTTCAACTCCCAGCATTCCCCAGCCAGCCTGCTTTAAGGTGGGTGGACTTCAACTCCCAGCATTCCCCAGCCAGCTTGCTTTAAGGTGGGTGGACTTCAACTCCCAGCATTCCCCAGCCAGCTTGCTTTAAGGTGGGTGGACTTCAACTCCCAGCATTCCCCAGCCAGCCTGCTTTAAGGTGGGTGGACTTCAACTCCAGCATTCCCCGGCCAGCCTGCTTTAAGGTGGGTGGACTTCAACTCCCCAGCATTCCCCAGCCAGCTTGCTTTAAGGTGGGTGGACTTCAACTCCCAGCATTCCCCAGCCAGCTTGCTTTAAGGTGGGTGGACTTCAACTCCCAGCATTCCCCGGCCAGCCTGCTTCAAGATGGGTGGACTTCAACTCCCAGCATTCCCCGGCCAGCCTGCTTAAGATGGGTGGACTTCAACTCCCAGCATTCCCCAGCCAGCCTGCTTCAAGGTGAGTGGACTTCAACTCCCAGCATTCCCCAGCCAGCTTGCTTTAAGATGGGTGGACTTCAACTCCCAGCATTCCCCAGCCAGCCTGCTTTAAGGTGGGTGGACTTCAACTCCCAGCATTCCCCGGCCAGCCTGCTTTAAGATGGGTGGACTTCAACTCCCAGCATTCCCCGGTCAGCCTGCTTTAAGATGGGGGACTTCAACTCCCAGCATTCCCCAGCCAGCCTGCTTTAAGATGGGTGGACAGGGGAGGCCTAGAACCAAAAAAGAAAAGACTTCAACTCCCAGCATTCCCCAGCCAGCTTGCTTCAAGATGGTGGACTTCAACTCCCAGCATTCCCCAGCCAGCCTGCTTTAAGATGGGTGGACTTCAACTCCCAGCATTCCCCAGCCAGCCTGCTTTAAGATGGGTGGACTTCAACTCCCAGCATTCCCCAGCCACCCATGCTTACAAACAGAAATTAAAACAACAATTCAACAAAAGCTATAAATCTTCCTATGTGTTCTAACTCCCTGGATTTCAAAAAAAAAATCAAGTCCAAATAACACTGGAATTGCATATTAAACTAAATAATATATTTTATATAGTTCTTCAACATATTTAATTGTTTAAGTGTCTTTATATGTATGTTTTTATTATATTCTAAGCCAGCCAGAGGCACTTCTACACAGGGGCGGCATATCAATGAAATAAATAAATACAGATAGTCCTCAACTTACATCCACAATAGAGCCCAAATTTTGGGTTACTAAGCAAAACATTCGTTAAGTGAGTTTTGCCCCGTTTTACAACCTTTCTTGCCACAGTTGTTAAATTTCAACTCCCAGCATTCCCCAGCCAGCCTGCTTTAAGATGGGTGGACTTCAACTCCCAGCATTCCCCAGCCAGCCTGCTTTAAGGTGGGTGGACTTCAACTCCCAGCATTCCCCAGCCAGCCTGCTTTAAGATGGGTGGACTTCAAATCCCAGCATTCCCCAGCCACCCATGCTTACAAACAGAAATTAAAACAACAATTCAACAAAAGCTATAAATCTTCCTATGTGTTCTAACTCCCTGGATTTAAAAAAAAAATCAACTCCAAATAACACTGGAACTAAATAATATATTTATATAGTTCTTCAAGATATTTAATTGTTTAAGTGTCTTTATATGTATGTTTTTATTATATTGTAAGCCAGCCAGAGGCACTTCTACACAGGGGCGGCATATCAATGAAATAAATAAATACAGATAGTCCTCAACTTACATCCACAATAGAGCCCAAATTTTGGGTTACTAAGCAAAACATTCGTTAAGTGAGTTTTGCCCCGTTTTACAACCTTTCTTGCCACAGTTGTTAAGTGAATCACAGCCATTCTTAAGTTAGTAACGCGGTTGTTAAGTGAATCTGGCTTCCCCATTGACTTTGCTCGTCAGAAGGTCGCAAAGGGGATCACGTGACCCCGGGATACTGCGACCGTCATAAATATGAATCCCTTGCCAAGCATCTGAATTTTGATCATGTGATCATGGGGATGGATTTAAGTGTGAAAAACAGTCCTATGTCACTTTTTTCAGTGCCGTCGTGACTTCGAACGGTCACTAAACAAACTGTTGTAAGTCGAGGACTACCTGCAGACCATAAATAAAACCTTTTCTTGAGAGGTGCGTGCAGGATGGGATTCCAGAATCAAAGTTGAAGATGGTTTTCCAGGCAGACTTTCCGCCTCTTTAAAGCCACTTGCAAAAGGCAGCCCTTGCTGGGAGCTGATTTATCCATTTATTTATTTATTATTTTTATTTATTTATTTATTTATTATTATTATTATTATTATTATTATTATTATTATTATTATTATTATTATTATTATTATTATTATTATGATGATGTTCCTATATTCAGTTTTTATTCATTTATAATGTAGTCTACAAACAAAATACCAAAGTAAATAATAGGGAAGATAGGGAAGGAAAAAGGGAAGAGAAAAGTGGGGGAAGAGAAAAAAAGGGAAAAAAGAAAGAAACGACATTGACTTCCGACTCCGTTCGGTACTGTCGAATAAAATAATAACATCAAACATCAACTTTTTACTTTTATACAGTAGTATAAACTAGTCAGCTATAGAAATGGTTAGTTTATACTACTATATAACAACACAAACCTATCTCTATGGAAATATGCCATTTCTATAACAACAAACCTATTGAATCGGTAAAACCCAAAATCAAAGTTTCATTTTTTCCCCCACCTCAAGCATAAAGTCCAGAAGCAGTTTCCAGGTAGAAATAAAAGTATTTGCAATTTTTTTTTTCTTTAATTAAAGCAGTCCGTTGAGCCGTCTCTGCTAACTCCATCCATTTTTTCACATTTATTTATTAAATTTATATCGACATGCCGCCCATCTCACTTCGATGCCAGCCCCGTGAACCCTTGGCATTGCACTTTGGCACACCCGAGGTTCAAAGACAACGACTTGCAAGGGTCTTACCCCCCCGGATGTGGCCCAATTCTGACTTTCTTCATCCATCCCTTAAAGAAGCCCCCCACCCCAATTTGCAAAAGGCTGCCTGGTATCTCCCCCCCACCCCCGCACATGCCCAGTGCCCTCTACCCTCGCTTACCCTCCTGAAGGGCGATCAGGGCTTCCTGGCTCAGCTGCTGGGCATCCATGTAAAAGGCAAGGAATCCTGTGTGGACAGGAAGGAGCAGAATTCGCATCTGGTGCCACCTCAGAGTCTTAACCAGCTATCTAATTCATCCGCCTCCCCCACCTCCTGGTGGCTCCAAGCTTGGCCGGCTGGCGGGATCTGCCCAGGATCGATTGGGATCTGCCCAGGCAGAATACAGATAAGTCCTCGATTTACGACCACAATTGAGGCCAACATTTCTGTTGCTAAGCGAGACAGTTGTTAAGTGAGTTTTGCCCTGTTTTACGACCTTTCTTGCCATACTTCTTAAGGGAATCACTGCAGTCGTTAGGTGAGTAACACCGTTGTTAAGTGAACCTGGCCTCCCCCACATTGACTTTGCTTGTCAGGAGGTCGCAAAAGGGGATCCTGTGACCCTGGGACATGGCAACCGTCGTAAATGTGAGTCAGTGGCCGGGTGTCTGAATTTGTGACCACAAGGATGGCTGCGACGGTCATAAGTGTGAAAAACAGTCGTAAGTCACTTTTTTCAGTGCCATTGAAATGTTGAATGGTCGCTAAACGAGCCATTGTAAATCAAGGACTACCTGTACATCCTGACCGCGCAGGATTTGAATTCACACCCTATAGCGGGACTAGAACTCCCAGTCTCCTGGTTTCTAACCTGAGGCCTTCACCACTAGATCAACCTGTCTCTCAATTATTTAGAATATACCATTTTTCCACAAAACTTTACACCAGATGTTACAGTTTTCCCCATTAGTTGTATTTTATACTACACCAAGTATACTATGGGGACATTTTATAGTCCTCGATTTACGACCACAATTGAGCCCCAAATTTCCATTGTTAAAGAAGGCTGTTGGTTAAGTTTCTCCATTTTATGGCTTTTTGTGGCCACAAGCGAAACACCACTGTCATTAAGTGAATCATGCCATTGTTAAGCGGAATCGGGCTTCCTCCATTGACTTTGCTTGTCAGAAGCCAGCTGGGAAAGTTACAAATGGGGGTCGCTTGAGCCCCGGGTCCGTGCAACCATCGTAAGTACATGCCAGTTTCCAAGCGTCCAAATTTTAATCACCGTCAAGATCAATACAGCTAGTGCTCGATTTACAACCGTTCATTTAGTGACCGTTCAAAGTTACAACGGCACTGAAAAAAGGGACCACGTAGGACCGTTTTTCATACTTACGACCGTTGCAGCACCCCCACAGTCACGTGGTTTACATTCGTATGCAACTGACTCACATTTACGACGGTTGCATCGCCCCGCGGTCACGTGATCCCCTTTCGCGACCTCCTGACCAGCAAAGTCAAGGGGGAAAGCCGGATTCACTTAACAACCGTGGGACTCACGTAACAACCGCAGCGATTCACTAAACGATGGTGGCAAGGAAGGTCGTAAAATGGGGCAAAACTCACTTAGAAAGAGAAATTTGGGGCTCAATTGTGGCCGTAAGTCGAGGACTACTTGCAAAAAAAGTGGCGAGAAAAGTCGTAAGAAGGGGCAGAACTCCCTTAACAAATCTCTCGCTTACCATCATAAAAATTTGGGCTCAACTGAGTCCGTAAGTCGAGGACTACCTGAATTGGGAATGCTGCAACGGTCGTGAGTGTGAAAAATCTGGTCCTTTTCGGTGCTGTTCTCACTTGGAATGGTCACTAAGTGGAATGGTTGTAAGTCGGGGACTGGAAGGGGGCATCAGCGTGGCTGGTGAGAGATGGCTGGCTTTGACCCAACATCCCCTGGAGAACAGGTGGGCCAGAACGCCTGTCCAGGTTGAAGCTGGAAGTGTTGTGGCCCGTTAGCGGCCTGTGCAGCTAGTAGCTGATTCGGACAGCGAGGAGGCTGGTGTGGTGCTGTGCCAGCAGCCTGTGCCGCTGACACTCGAGTCGGACAGTGAGGAGGCTGGAGAAGATGTGGTGCCAGAGGCGGGGATTCAGCCAGGGCCTTCAGAACCTCCAGAAGCTCCCATAAGTGAAGAGGACGAAGAGGAGGAGCCTCTTCTCCATGCACGGGTGTGCAGAGCTGCCAATAGGCAGGAGTGACTCCTCAGGAGGAGGTCTCCTCGAGAGTAAGGCTTGGGGCTAATTGGCCACTCCCTTAGCCTATTTAAGGAGGAACGCCGACTGAAGCAATTTGTAGGGAACAACTTTAGTTCATTCTCCTTCGCGTCTGGATTCTCTGCAAATTGCTTCTGGGCTTTCTGCCAACTCTAGTAAGACTGTGATTACCTTATCTTAGAATGCTTGCAGGCTGTTAAGGAAGTTTATTAACAGCCTTTGGTTGAAAAAGACTTGAGTTCTTTGAGTAAAATAATCTTTGTATAGTTTTTCTGTGTGCTGCGTTCTTTGGGGTCCATAGCTGGGGCAGAACAGGAAGGAGCCCCCTTCCCACCAGGTGGATACCCCCACCCTTCACCTGCAAAAACCCCGGCCGCCCTGCGCAGGGGGGCTTTGGAGCTCTTCAGGTAATCCAGCGTACAAGACAGGAAAACCAGGATCTTGTCAGGGTACCACTGAACCTGGAGAGAGAAAGGGGAGGGGGCTGCCCTGAACCTCTTAGCAAGGAGAGAGAGAGAGAGGAGACAGAGAGAGAGAGAGAGAGAGAGAGAAGCATTTGCAAGGGGGCAGCCAGGAGTGGGGCAGACCCCTGGCGAAGAGGGTTGGATGGCCTGCGTAGCAGGGATGCCCATCCTTTGGAGGGTGGGTGGGGGGAATGGTACCATTCACCTTGGGATGGCACACAAGGAAAGCGGACAATACCAATTCAGAATAGAGCTGGAAGGGGCCTTAGAGGTCTTCTAGTCCAACCCCTTGCCCAAGCAGGAGACCCTAGACCATTTGGCTGTCCAGTTTCTTCTAAAAAACAAACAAACAACCTTTCACCTACAATTTCTGGTGGCAAGCTGTTCCACCGGTTAACGGTTCTCACTGTTAGGAAGTTTCTCTTTAATTCCAGGTTGCTTCTCTCCTTGATTAGTTTCCGTCCATTGTTTCTTCTCCTGCCTTCTGGTGCTTTGGAAAACAGGTTGAACCAACCCCCTTTTCTTTGGGGCAGCCCCTCAAATGTTGGAAAACTGCTATCCGGTCCCCCAGTAGTCCTTCGTCTCATCCCCATGGCCATTTGAGGGCTCCTAAGGGCATCAAATTACGCCCCACTCCTGGACAGTGCTGAAACCAGCTGGTAGATCCCAGGGGAAGTTTGTCAATGGGGTGGAGTGAGGGGGGGGATTTCCTCAGAGAAGGGGTCTATCCATCCCCCACCTACCAGGCTCTTGCAGATTTTGTCCAGGGCTTTCTGGCAGTCACAATAGGCCAAGGTCAAAATTTCCAACCCGAGGTTCCAGCCCAGAAAGTTATTGCATCGGGCCAAAGTCCACTTGTAGGTCTGTTTCAGGGACAAAGAGGGACGGGGAGGGTTCTTCTCAGGCCAGATGTGCAACCTAGATGTGCTTCTGTGTCCTTCTTGCAAGTTCAGCTCTCCCAGATGTGTAGTTAAAGCAGCACTGCACCTGGGAGCTATCCAAGGGAAGTGTCCCCCATCCCAAGTGGCCTCTTGCCACCTCCCCCCACGATCTTGGGGAGCAAAGCCAGGGTCTTAGGACAATGCCCCCTGCCCCAGGGAGACCCAAAGCTGAATTCTGCCCCAGTGAGTTTGCAACAGCCCCTTCCGGAAACCTCCCCGGAGAGGAAGCTCTTACTTCGACCACTTGCTGGCTGGGGTCGCACAGGTGGAGGACGAAGGGTACCAAGTGTGTCAGGATTCGCTCCCGCATCTGAGCTTTGTGCCGGACATTCACCCAAGGCAGCAGCTCCCCGAACAGGCGGACGGCCAGAGAGCGCTCCGGCTCTCGTTCCTGGACAGAAGGAGAAGAAGATGGGCATTTTTTTAAAAATGAAAAGATAAAATAAAATTTAAAAATAAAATCAAACATCCACATCTGCCTCTCCTAAGTCCTTGGGAAGGAGGCAGAACAAAACTGCGAAATCCAGGCTGAACATCTGGCCGACTGTGCAACACCAACCACCATAGTAATATAATTTTTTTTTAAAAAAATAAAGAGGAATAATGAAAAGAACAAATCCATCAAAAAGAAAACAAGTAAACAAACAAACAGTCAGAAGAATAATTTGGGGTTCTAACTCGAGTCGGAGTTGCGCAAGAATAAATAAAAATGAGATCCGGACAGCTGTAAGGAAAGAAGAAATATTTATTCCTAAAAGTAAAGATTTTGCCTTTAAGGGCAGCTGTGGAGAAATGGGGTACAGAGCAGTGGTGGGTTTTTGCTACCAGTTCTGTGGGTGTGGCTTGGTGGGCGTGGCATGGCTTGGTGGGCGTGGCAAGGGAAGGTTACTGCAAAATCCCCATTTCCTCCCAATCAGGACTGGGACTTGGGAGGCAGAGAATAGATGGGGACGGAGCCAGTCAGAATTTTTACTACCTACCGGTTCTCCGAACTAGTCAAAATTTCCGCTACCGGTTCTCCAGAACTGGTCAGAACCTGCTGAAACCCCACTCTGGTACAGAGCCCCTCTTCTTTGGGGCAGCCCCTCAAATAGTGGAACACTGCTATCATGCCACCCCCAGTCCTTCTTTTCTCTGGACTGGCCAAACCCAAATTCCTGCAACCGTTTTTCATTATGTTTTAATCTCCGGGCCTTTAATCATCTTAGTTGCTCTTCTTGGCACTTTTCCCAAAGTCTCAACATCTTTTTTGTAATGTGGGGACCAAAACTGGATCGAGGGGTGGCCTTACTAAGGCTTTATAGAGCGGTACTAATCCTCCACGTGACTTCGATTCTATGCCTCTGTTTCTACAAGCAAGGACTGCATTCGCGAAACCCTAAAGCGCCAGAGCAGGTCTCCCCAGAAATAAATAGGATTTTCCCTCCAGCTCCCCGCCACCCTCAGCCTTACGTCCTCCAGGAGAGGCCGGAGTTTCTTTGCGACGAGGACGCACAGGGAGCCCACGTAGAGCCTCCGCTGGTGGTGGCTCAGGATCTTCGGCAGCGCTCCGAGGGTGTCTCTCACCGTCTTCTCGTGAGCCTCGTTCAGACCTCTCAGCATTTTGGAGACCAGGCCTTCCAGGGACCTCAGCTGCAAGGAGGGAAACCAGGCCCTAAAACCCCATCCCCAAAGCCCACCCAAGGACCCCCACGCTTGGAGATCAAGGCGTTCTGAATCGGAATCAAATCAGGGGCAAGTCTCCCCCAGTTTCCTTTCCAGCAGCTCTCCAAAATCATCATCATCTTCTTTTAAGGACCCCATAATCCCTTGTGAGGTGGAGTCTGGGCAACTGAATGGAGCTGGGCGTTTAACTGGCCGGATGCCCTTCTTGTCGCCAATGCGGTGTTATATTCAGCAGATATATTCTCATTGTGCCCAGAGAGAGAAATATCTGCCTCTACCTAGGATCAAACTCACAGCCTCCTGATTGTGAGGCGAGAGCGCCGCCTCTAGGCCACCGCACCACTCGTCATTTGCTATTCTATTGGTGGTGGGTCAATCCTATTATGTCCTAAGGGTCATGTCCCTGTTCTTAGAATTTGGGCGGGGGGGACATAAATTTGGGGAGGGGGGGGACGTAAATTCTTAATCCCGTCATTTGGAGGTGAAGGTGTTTTGTTTGTGAATAGGCTGGCCTGGATTTCTTAAAAGGGCACAAAACATCCATCTCTAAAGACTTCAGGCATCTGCTGGAGGCTGTTAAGAAGGACTGGGGCTGCTTTCTGTCTTTAAGAATGTGTTTCTCCATTTCTCCTTTGGGGAAATACAATATTCTGTCTCTTTTAATATCCCCCAAAATAATTCATTCCTGGAGTGTGTGTGTGCGTGATTACTTCTTACTACACCACCTTCTTGGGAAGGGTCTGGACGACCTGGAAATCGGCTGCCATCTGGGGATTTAGCTCATGAAAGGAACAGCTTTTTCAAGGACTGGGAACCACCTTCGCCCCCCTGGTCAGGACCCCCAATTTACCTTCTGCTTCTGCAGCGCCAGGTTTTCCAATCCCTGGAAGCTGAGCCAACGGACCACCGGTTGGGGGTCTGCCTGCCACTGCTCCAGCTTGGCCAGGACTCTCCTCTTGGGGACCAGCCGGATGGAAACCTTGCTGCAAAGAAACTTCCCAGCCAGTCAGCGTCAGACACGGGCCGACGGTGGGCCCTGGAGCCATAAGCCAGTGGTGGGATTCCTGAAGGCCACAGCTCCAAGGTCATCCAAAAGGAGTGAGGGGTGGAACTCGGTGGCAAGGCCAGAAGCAACGGCTGGATGCCAGGAGAAGCCTCTGGCGGACCCAAGAGAGCAGGACCTCTCCAGGACCAGGTTCTCCTGACTTAGCCTTCATGATCAACCACTTCTGATCCACCTTTGCTTTAGGAGCCCCCAAGCCGGAGAAGCAGAGATGAGTCCTATAGACTAGAGAAGGGGTCTCCAACCTTGGCAACTTTAAGCCTTGGAGGACTTCAAATCCCAGAATTCCCCAGCCAGCTTTGAAGTCCTCCAGGCTTAAAGTTGCCAAGGTTGGAGACCCCTGCTATAGAGTCAGACTCCTCTCTTCCGTCCCCTTGCCACCCTACACGCCTTCGGTGCCCTAGACTTACCCCCGCAAAGAGCGCTCTCGCTGTCAAAGCCCTTTCTTCCTCCTGGGCATCCAGTCGCGGGATGACCTCTGCCAGCAGCCCCAACAAATGATGGTTTGTGACGGTCGCCAGGATTCTGGGAAAATAAAGAGGTCCCCCACCCCCCACGCTGAGAGATTACTTTCTTTCTTTTTTTTATTGAGTTTTAAACAGAGATATAAAGACAATACAAAAAATACAAAGACATTACAAAGACAAACGAGTTCCCACCACCAACCTACCCACACCATACTTTACATATATGTTTTGATCATCATCAGAATATATATTGCTTTATAAGTTAATATATAAGTAATACATTGTCAATTCAGATGTTTTAGATTAGAAATAATCTTGCATCTCCTCTTTATTTATTTATTTCCGGTTTTATTTTTTCTACCCTATTTTCTTTCATCTATATTTGTACTGATTTTCTTTTCCAGCCATTGATACCACTGGTGCCACACAAGATAGAATTCACTTTCTTCTTTATCTTGGAGTTCTAGTGTCAGTCTATCCATTTCGGCACATTCTGTTATCTTTGAGATTAGTTTGTCTTTGGTTGGGAGTTGATCTGATTTCCAAATCAAATCAGAGAGATTACTTTCATATATTCTTAAAAAATTTTAAAACTTAAGTTCCGGAGTTCGCAGTATGTCTGCTTCTTTTTTTACTAATATACCTGGAGCTCGTATTTTTAGAATAGTTTGTAATATGTATTTTTATAGATAGATAGATAGATAGATAGATAGATAGATAGATAGATAGATAGATAGATAGATAGAAATGTTATTTTTTAGTATAATAATTCCAACTTCCATTAAACAGTGTGTTGTCTGGGTACAAATATCTTTGTGCAGTAATAATCAAAGTTTACAGCAGTATTCCTTACATTAATGCTAATTTTCTAATTTTACAATACTAATATTGAACATAATAAATATATTTACTCCCTCTTAACATACCTTCTAATAAGAATATAATAGACATATTAAACATACTAATCCTAATAGTCATAATAATAATAATCCTGTTTTCTCTTTTAACGTATTTTCTACACTTCATTAATCATCTTCTTTTATTTCCCTATTTCTCTCTTCGGTTTTTATTTTCTAACCATCGATAAAATAATCCCCATGTCGTGTAGTATTCAGTTTGTTCTTTCTCCTTAATTGCAAGTGTTAATCTATTCATTTCTGCACATTCTAATATTTTCATTTTTTTAAATAATAATTTTAAATAATAAAAAATAAATAATAATAATTTTAAACAATAATTTTAAATAATATTTGATTATTTAATAATAATCACATTCTCATCCATAGGGATCTCTTCACTTTTCCAGTTTTGTGCGAACACAATTCTAGCTGCAGTTAATACATGAATAATTAGATATGCATTCCCCTTGCTATAGTTTCAGGTAAAATCCCCAACAAAAACATTTCCTGGTTTGAAGTCAATGTGCTGTTTTATCATCTATTTGAGCCACATATGTATTTTTGTCCAGTATTTTTTTTTTTTTTTGCTTCTACGCATGTCCACCACATATGATAATAAGACCCAGGCAGAGGTGAAATGCTCCCGGACCGGACTGCCTGATCTGGTAGCGATATTCCCCTGTGGTTTGGCGATCCAGTAGCAATCGCTGCCCAGGTGTTATTATTTCCTGGTTTTAAACAGGTACTACTTTTTACCTTCTGCGCATGCTTCCGAACCAGTAAGGAAGGTAAGTAGATTTCACCCCTGAGCACAGGTATCTGGTGGCACTTCCAACATTTAGCTGATTTATCTTTAAACATCTATGCCAGTGTTTCTCAATCTTGGAAGCTTGAAGATGGGTGGACATCAACTCCCAGAATCCCCCAGCCAGCGCTGCTGGCTGGGGGATTCTGGGAGTTGAAGTCCACCCATCTTCAAGCTACCAAGGTTGAGAAACACTGATCGATGCCAAGGTTACTTTCATCGGACAAGTGAGCGGATGGTTTCAGGAGCTCAGGAGCAGCTGCTTACCGAGCGAGGAGGACCACGCCTCTCAGGTGTTCCTCCTTGCTGGAGAGGAGACTCCAACCCTTGTTCATCTCCATGCCTAGCAGGACCTTGTAGTTGTGGTCTCGGAGCATCAGGGTCCTCAGCGTATCCACTGCGAACCTGCACAGGCAACAGAAGGCTCAGGGAGAAAGACCTCGGACAATGGGCACCTACCTATCCAACCACGTGAAATCTACAGGCGGGGAAAAGCAAGGTTTGACACCTGGGCAGGAAAAGACAAGTACAGATTAGGGGGAAACCTGGCTCAGAAACGGTCGCTGTAACAGTAACAGAGTTGGAAGGGCCCTTTGGAGGTCATCTAGTCCAACCCCCTGCTCACGCAGGAGACCGATACTAGGGATTTGAACCGCCAACCTTTCTTATTATAACCAAATTTTTTCCCCCCATGCTATCATTGATTCTTTAACTTGTTCTTCTTCCAGTTTTGCTTCAAGTAAATATCCATATAGCTTTTTAATTATATGGTCATCTGAACCCATTAATATCTTGTCTAAACCAGTCGAAACACTATAAATACCTTCTTGTTTAAAGTGTTCTCGATATCTGGAAAGTATTTGCATGTATGAAAACCAATCTATCTTAATTCCCTGATCTTCTAAGTTTTGTTTCAATTTAAGTTCACCTTTTTCATCCAATAATTCATTACATCTAACAATTTGTTCCCCTTCAAATACCACTGGATAAGAAAAAGCTTCAATTGTAGATACCCAGACTGGAATCTTCAGATAATGGTACTTTTTGATCTTCTCCCATGTCTAAAATACCCCTGAATTTTAGTTCCTTTATACCATAAGAAAGCATGCCATCCCATCAGCAAATCATGTCCCTCCAAATTTAATATTCTAGTATTTTTCAATATCGACAAGCTCAGCGTCTTAGCCACTGAGCCACCTAGGGAGCCGCCGTGAGAGGGACCTTGGAGTCCTAGTGGACGATCCCTTAAATAGGAGCCAGCTGTGTGCAGCAGCAGCCAAAAAAGCCAATGCAATCCTTTGGTTATATAAATAGAAGCATAGGATCAAAATCGTGTGAATATTCATACCGCTTTATAAAGCCTTAGTAAGGCCACACTCGGAATTCTGCATCCAGTTTTGGTCACCGGATTATAAAAAAAAGATGTTGAGAGTTTGGAAAAAGTGCGGAGAAGAGCAACTAAAATGATCGAAGGCCTGGAGACTAAAACATAGGAAGAACGACTGCAGGATTTGGGTATGGCTAGTCTAGAGAAAAGAAGGAGTAGGGGGGACATGAGACCAGTATTCCAGTATTTGAGGGGCTGCCCCAAAGAAGAGGGGGTTCAATTTATTTTCCAAAGCACCAGAAGGCAGGACAAGAAACAATGGATGGAAACTAATCAAGGAGAGAAGCAACCTGGAATTAAGGAGAAACTTCCTAACGGTGAGGACAATTAACCAGTGGTTAATTGGGTGGGTGAAATCCAGCAGGTTCTGACAGGTTCTGGAGAACCGGTAGCGGAAATTTTGAGTAGTTTGGAGAACCGGCAAATACCACCTCTGGCTGGCCCCAGAATGGGGTGGGAGTGGAGATTTTGCAGTATCCTTCCCCTGCCACGCCCACCAAGTCACACCATGCCCACCAAGGCATGCCCACAGAACCAGTACTAAAAAAATTTTGGATTTCACCACTGGAGAGAAGCAACTTGGAATTAAGGAGAAACTTCCTAACAGTGAAGACAATTAACCAGTGGAACAGCTTGCCACCAGAAATTGTAGGTGGAAGGGTTTTTGTTTTTTTTTTAAAAAGGTGACTGGACAGCCACTTGTCTGAAATGGTCTAGGGTCTCCTGTTTCAGCAGGGGGTTGGATTAGAAGACACCCCCCAAGGTGCCTTCCAGCTCTATTCTGATTGAAAGAGGATTTTGGGGGGGTCTTCATTGGCGTCAAGGGAGAGAAGCCCAGACAGGCGCATCTTAAGTCGCAGGGGGGGGTGTCTCCCCCATATAATCACCTCACATGTTCAGCGACCACATATTTGCAGTGGACAGGGGGATGGCCGTTAGCCCTGCCACTGGAGCCAGCTGCTTGCTGCATCCAGCCTTCCTCCTTCTCCTCCTCTTCCTCCTCCTCCTCCTCCTCCTCCTCCTGCCCGTAGCCTGGAAGCTGCACCAGGAAGTGGATCTGGGTCAGGATAGCCAGGAAGAGGGTGGGGTAGAAACCATGGATGGCTCCTGTGCAGGTGAAGAGTTTCAACATTTCGCCCAGCGCTCTCATAGCCTAGGAAAGTAAAAAGAAAAAGAAACATTAAGATGCAGGAAGGTTGGTGCTCCCTGAGCTCTGTGGTTTCCTTGCAGACGTTTCATGGCCCAACTAGGGAACCTCATCAGTGCAAGAAGGGAGTGGGGTTTGTGGGGAGGAGGAGGAGGAGGAGGAGGATGTGGGGTTTGTTAGGAATATGGTTTAACTAACCTGTTGGGTTGGCAATATATAAACTATCAATGTAGCTTTAAGATTGCTGTATTGCATCGTACTGTGTCCTGATTGGTTAGCTCTGTTGCTAATGTCCTTAAGAGGGAGCAAGAAACATGGTTTGTTCTTTTTGCTGTTCTTGCTCTCTGATATTGCTGTATGCTACTGTTTGCAACTCCAGAAGAACTGTTTACTTTGAATGACTAAGACAACTGGTAAGAAGACTTTGTTATTGGACTGTCGTTCTGGCTATATCTCCTGATTTATCTGTTTATGACCTGGACTGTTTATTGGACTATGCTTTCTTTTTCTTGCAAGTAAAATATATCACAACTCAGTGTATCTGTATGTTGACTGTGCTTATTCATAACTACTCTCAGTCGTTTTCATGTGCACACCCTTGCTACTCAAGGGTTGCTCTGCAAATTTCTTAACAGGGTTCTTGGTGCTTTCTAAACTTGGTGGTTTTCTTGCAGTCGTTTAATGACCCAACTATAACATCGTCAGTGGTAGAAGGAAGTAGGGTTTGTGGAGAAGAGGAGAAAGAGGAGGAGGAGGAGGAGGAGGACTGTGGGGTCCATAGTGCTCTCTGAGCTTGGTGGTTTTCTGGCAGACGTTTCATGACCCATCTATGTATCATCATCAGTGCTAGTAGGGAATGAGGTTTGTTCTCTGTTTATATTCAGTGACTTGCACTGTCACTTTTTAATTAGTCTATTGTTTATTGTTTAACACCAGACCCACAATCAAGCACTCAACAGTACCCCAACTACCAATTCAGACAACCAAATAGTAAACAACAGCCTAATCAAGAAACCCATCAACATTGACAGGGCAAGTCACTCTATATAAACAGAGAGCAAACCCAACTTCCTTCTAGCACTGATGATGTTACCTAGTTTATTGATTGATTGATTGATTGATTGATTGATTGATTGGTTCGATTTATTTATTTATTGGTTCGATTTATTTATTTATTTATTGGTTCGATTTATTTATTTATTTATTGGTTCGATTTATATGCCGCCCTTCTCCGGAGACTCAGGGCGGCTTACAATGCTTTTTTAAGCAATAGCCTTCATACTTTTTTGTATATACCTGCTTAGTAGGGCTTTCGGCCCCCCCTAAGTGGTGTTCTATTTTATACAAAGTCAGCTTATTGCCCCCACAAACCGGGTCCTCATTTTACCTACCTCGGAAGGATGGAAGGCTGAGTCAACCTTGAGCCTGGTGAGATTTGAACTCGCAGTAATTGCAGGCAGCTGGCAGCTAAGTGCTACTTAACAGCACTTTAGTCCACTGCACCATCAAGGCTCTTGGGTCAAGAAACATCTGCAAGGAAACCACTAAGCTCAGAGACCACCAAGGACCCCACAATCCTCCTCCACATAAAACCCCACTCCCTTCTTGCACTGATGATGTTCCCTAGTTGGGTCATGAAAATTCTGCAAGAAAAACCACCAAAATCCGGGAGCACCAAGGACCCCACACTTCAACCCTGAGTTGCAAATATTCTCTTCTACAGTATGTTATTCAGCCACAAATAGTCCCAGGTCCCTCAGAGAAGATGGACGAGAGGTATAAGGGCCGGTGTGGCCTGCAATGTCTTTGGTGCATCAGGCAGCATCAGACTGAGTGGGTGGGGATGGCCACTCCAGGGGTGGACCAAGGACCCCCAGCTGCAGAGCAGAGGTGAAAGACCCCAACCCAACCAGCCCTGCGTTGCTTAGAGATGTCTCCAGGGGTGGCCACAGGGCACAGTCAAGATGGAATCACAGGGGCGTAAATTAATCCCACCACATCCCATAATGTATGCCAGGGAGTTTTGATCAAAGCACCGTGGCCGCCATCATGACTTTTCCAACCACATCTTGAAGACGCTGGGAATTCTGGGAAGTGACCAACAGAACAGAAGTTGCCTTCAGAAGTTGTGGGAGCTTCATCACTGGAAGCTTTCAAGGAGAGACTGAACTGCCATCTTACAGAAATGGTGTAGGATCTCCTGCTTGGGTAGGGGGGGGTGGACTAGATGACCTACAAGGAGTGGTGAAATTCAATTTTTTTTACTACTGGTTCTGTGGGCGTGGCTTGGTGGGCATGGTGTGGCTTGGTGGGCATAGCAGGGGAAGGATACTGCAAAATCTCCATTCCCACCCCATTCTGGGGCCAGCCAGAGGTGGTATTTGCCAGTTCTCTGAACTACTCAAAATTTCCCCTATCGGTTCTCCAGAACCTGTAAGAACTTGTTGGATTTCACCCCTGCCTACAAAGTCCCTTCCAACTCTGTTATTCAGATAGATAGATAGATAGATAGATAGATAGATAGATAGATAGATAGATAGAGTTGTGGCCCGCTAGCGGCCTGCATGAATTGTGGCTGATCCCGACGACGAGGAGGCTAGTGTGGTGTCGCGCCAGCAGCCGGACAGCGAGGAGGCTGAAGAGGATCTGGTGCCAGAGGCGGAGACTCAGCCAGGGCCTTCAGAACCTCCAGAGGCTCCTTCAAGTGCAGAGAGCGAAGTGGAGGAGCCTCTTCTCAATGCTCGAGCACGCAGGGCTGCCAAAAGGCAGGAGTGGCTACTCAGGAGGAGGAGGTCTCCTCGAGAGTAAGGTTTGGGATTAATTGGTCACTCCCTTAGCTATTTAAATTCGCACACAGCTGGCATATGTTGCTGGAAACAACGTTTGGTCCTACGCAGAGCATTTTGAGAGTGAGTTTTTTGTTACAACTTGGTTTCTGGGCTGATTGCCAACCCTTGTCGGACTTTGTTTAATCTCTGTAATTCAGAGCAGGCTGATAAGGACATTTGTGGTTAAAGCCTGCATTTTGAAAGGGGTCTGTTTGTATTAAACGGAGTTTTTGGAGCTGTGTGTGTGCTACACTTCTTGGATCCGTAGCTGGGGCAGAACAGATAGATAGATAGACAGAAAGACAGATGGATGGATGATAGAAAGATGATAGGTAGAGATGATAGATTGAAAGATCAATAGATCGATAGATGAATGGATGGGTGGGTGGGTAGATAGATAGATAGATAGATAGATAGAAGTTTAATCACTGGACTGCCATCTGTCAGAAATGGGGTAGTCCTAGCTTATTTTCCAGTTAGGTCTTATTTTCATGGGAACACGGTACCTCTAATTATGTTAGCAAGGTTCTGGGATTGTAGCCTTCCTGGGGAAGTTCATGCTCTAGTCTGGTCTGGTCTACCTCGCAGGGCTGAGACTTACTGCCAAAGGAGCCAGCCACTCCTCGTAACCGGTGCCATCTCCGGCGCTGCAGCTGTGCTCGGGCAGGCTGGCTCTCCGTTTCAACTCTCGGAGCAAATACCACATGACTTTGGTGTTCGTCTCCGGGACCGTGCAAAGACTTTTCCACATTTCGGAGGCCGTGCTGTGAAACGGAAGGGTGGACAGGTGTGACTTGGCCCATGGGCTGAGACGGGTGAGGGAAGCAGCTTGCCTTCAGAAGCTCTGGGAGCTTCATTCCTGGAAGCTTTCAAGAAGAGGCTGAACAGTCACTTGTCTGAAATGGAACGGTGTAGGGTCTCCTGCTTGAGTGGGGGCTGGACTAGATGACCTACAAGGTCCCTTCCTACTCTGTTATTCTAATCAGTGGAAGGACTTGCCTCCAGAAGTTGTGGGTGCTTTCAAGAGACTGGACTGCCATCTATCAGAAATGGTGTAAGGCCGTGATGGCAAACCTATGGCACCCATGCCCAAGGTGCCACGCAGAGCCATCTTTCCAGGCACGCAAGCTGTCGCCCAACTCACCTGCAGCTGTGTATGCACGCGTGCCACAGCTGGTGTTCAGGCCTCTGGGGCACATACATGCAATTCAGGGGACCCAGCTGGTCTTTGGACCTCTCCTGCGCATGCACACATGTTTGTGCGTGTGCGTGAGAGTACTCTCGTGCAGCCTGCGCATGTGTAGACAGCGTTTGCATTCGTGCAATGCGCAGATGGTGCAATTGCACGAGCAGCGCATGGGGAGGAGCGCGAAGCATACAAAGAGCACGAAATGCGTACTTGTTCGGCATTCGGTGAGTAAAAGCTTCGCCACCACTGGTGTAGGGTCTCCTGCTTGGATTGGGGGTTGGACTAGATGACCTACGAGGTCCCTTCCAACTCTCTTCATCTTCAGCCCCGTTGGGGGGGGTTAATAATGAAGCCAGAAGATAAAGAAAACTCTGAGACGGGACCAGGTGCTCAGACACCAAACTGCATTGCTGAGAAAACAATCGGGAAGTTCCCAAGGAGGCCAAAACCTCTTCCTTCAGGAGAAGACTTTTGAAGAGGGAGCCCCTCAAAGCCCCCCCAACCTGCCCAGGATCTTTCTTTTTTTTTTTTTAATCATTTATTTAAAATTATATAAAATACAAAGAAGGAAAGAAAATAGGAAATCAAGGGAGGGAAAGGGAACGGGGGAAAGTGGGTGTGAGACAGTGGTGGGTTTCCCATTACGTTACTACCGGTTTGCCCCATGCGCACATGCTCGCTTAGTACACACATGTGCACCTGCCATCCGTGCATGTGGCCAGCCTCAAAAACATGCCTAAATAGGATGGCATAGACCAACGATTTCCGCTACCGGTTCAGGCAAACCGGTCTGAACCAGCTAAACACCTCTGGTGTGAGATACAAGGGGGAAGAGAAAAAGAAAGAAAAGGGGGCATTGACTTCCAACTCTTCCTGGCACAGTACAAGATAAACCTACTCCAGCCTCAACTTTTTCCTTTTACACATTACTATATAACTACCAGAGGTGGGTTTCAGCAGGTTCTGACCAGTTCTGGAGAACCGGTAGCGGAAATTTTGAGTAGTTCGGAGAACCGGTAGTAAAAATTCTGACTGGCCTCACTCCCATCTATTCTCTGCCTCCCGAGTCCCAGCTGACTGGGAGGAAATGGGGATTTTGCAATAGCCTTCCCCTGGAGTGGGGAGGGAATGGAGATTTTGCAGTATCCTTCCCCTGCCACGCCCACCAAGCCACGCCCACAGAACTGATAGTAAAAGTTCTGACTGGCCCCACCCCCATTTATTCTCTAGTCTCTGCCTCCCAAGTCCCAGCTGATTAGGAGGAAATGGGGATTTTGCAGTAACCTTCCCCTGCCAAGCCCACTAAGCCATGCCCACCAAGCCATGCCACGCCCACCAAGCCACACCCACAGAACCGGTAGTAAAAATTTTTGAAACCCACCACTGATAACTACTCATTTCTATAACACCAAATCTTGCTAATAAACAAAACCGAGATCAAAGTTTCATTTTTTTTTTCTTCACAAGCACAAATTCCAGAAGTGATATCCAAATAAGAACCCATTTTCCTCTTTAAGTAAGTAATCAATTTAACCATTTAAGTAATCCATTCCTGCTTTATCTTCCTTGCTATGGAAATAAGGTGTATTTCTTGTGGCACCTGGTGATCTTCCTGAGCTGTCACCATTTTTATTTACAACATTTGTTGTATTCTTTCAAATTCTTTGGCCTTACTGAAAGAAAAGGCCGTTGCAAAGTCACACTATGGAACTGCACAACTATCCAGCCTGCGAAGTCAGGGACTGTTACCCAGGCAATGTGTTAGCACCTAACTGGACACTCAAAGATAAGCAAGGTGGAAGGTGGGAACAAGGGAAAAGTAAACCACGTGAAAATCCCAGATCCAGTTTTGCTTCTGCTGTAACCGCTTGGCTTTAGTACAGAGTACTTTTCTAAGGAGCCGAAAGTTTTCCTTTCCTAACTGACCAGGTTGGGACAACTGACAGACACACTCAGTGTCTGGAGGGGATCCTGTTTTCTGCTCAGCACGACAGGTGCATCGGAAACCCCAGGGAACTAACTGTTCCTGTTTTTCAGAGAAGTATAGTAAAGAACATATATATTTGATAATACATGTTATAACGGCAGCAAGAAGGATATTTGCACAAAAGTGGAAAGCAGAAAAAACCCCTACAAAGGGAGAGGTAATTAAGAAAATATTGGAATGTGCAGAAATGAATAGGTTGACATTGGCCATTAAAGGGAAAACAGAATCGGAGTATTACAACATTTGGGGGAAATTTTATCAATGGAGAGAAAGTGAGTATAGACAATAAACATGGTAAAGACAAGAATTTTGAGATGAATATGTTGTAGTATGTTAAAATTAAATGAAAAAAAGGAAAGATAAATATATATGTTAAGAAATGATGATAAACTTTGAAGATTTGATGGCACAAAAGTTATACCCAGATGATACATGGATTGATTAATAATGTACAGGAATATTAGAAGAGGAATAATTGTAAATTAAAAGAAGAAAAGAAGAATGGGAAAAGGAGAGGAAGAAGGAAGGGGAAAGAAGAGTAGGAGAGAGGGTAAGAAGGGGAGGAAGAAGAGAGGAGAGGAAGTAGAAAGGGAAAGGCGAGGAGGAATGAGGAAAGTCGAAAGAAAAGAGGAGAAAGAAGGGAAGAGAAAAAGGAAATGTTGTAGTAAAACAAAGGAAGGAAATGGCAAAAGAGCAGACCCGAACAATTCATTAATTAGCTAATAGAAGTTAATGAATAAGATGAACGAACAATGTAGAAGGATGGATAAAAGACTGTACATTTAAAGATGCTGATAAAAAATAAAAATATTTTTTTTTTCAAAACAAAAAAAGAAAATCTGGGGAACTGGTTGGGAAGCCAGTTGCTTGGACTGCTAATTATGGATCTCCCCTTCTGAAATGCAGGCCGGTGAGGTGGCAGAGTCATTACCTGTTGCAGGGCAGGGAGTGTTTCAAGAGGCTGGAGACCACGTCTTCAGGTGACACCTCTGCTAGAGAAGTCACAACGTTCAACGCTGCCCTCCGAGCTCTGCCCACGGGGATACTGCTGATCTCCCAATACAGCTGTTCCACTATTTCCGAGACCTGCAGAAGAACGATGGAAGAGAGAGATGGGTACAGGGCCACAAGTCAGGGGAATCGGGAGCTTCAGCAGTGACCCTGTTGGGGTTCTCCAGGAGCCTCCAGAAGTTCTTCTTCCAAGACCGAGTTCAAGCAGCACCCACGGTCCAAGACGTGGGAGGAAACGCTTTATGCTGCTTTGGTAAGATCACATCTGGAATCCTGCATCCAGTTTTGGTCACCACGATGTAAAAAAGATGTGGAGACTCTGGAAAGAGTGCAGAGAAGAGCAACAAAGAGGATTAGGGGGCTGGAGGCTAAAACCTATGAAGAACGGTTGCAGGAACTGGGTATGTCTAGTTTAATGAAAAGAAGTAGGGGTGACACGATAATATCTTCCAATATTTAAGGGGCTGCCACAAAGAAGAGGGAATCAACCTATTTTCCAAAGCATCTGAGGGCAGGACAAGAAGTTTTAGATGGAAACTTATCAAAGTGAAATCCAACTTAGAACTAAGGAGAAATTTCCTGACAGTGAGAACAATTAATCAGTGGAACAGCTTGCCACTAGAAGTTCTGGATGCTCCAACACTGAAGTTTTTAAGAAGAGATTGGATAACCATTTGTCTGAAGTGGTCTAGGGCAGGGGTGGGCAACTGTGGCCCTTTTATCACCTGTGGACTTCAGCTCCCAGAATTCCTGAGCCAGCTGTCTCAGGAATTCTGGGAGTTGAAGTCCACAGCTTGTAAAAGGGCCACAGTTGCCCACCCCTGGTCTAGGGTCTCCTGCTTCAGCAGAGGGTTGGGCTAGATGACCTTCAAGGGCCTAGGTCCCTTCTAATTCTGTTATTCTGTAAACATTCAGTTACTGTATTTGCACCTGACACAAAGTGTGGCCTTGTCTGGTTGAGTTGAGTTCCAGTTGGATTCCAGAAGTCTCTGAGTTGAGATTTCTGGAACCCAAGAATAAAAAAGATCAACCTAGATCTAGAAATGGATAGTAGGAACATCTCTATTGCTGGAGGCTGCTCCAGCCCCTCTCCTGAAGCAGAGCATTGACCAAGAATATTGTTTTCTACTGCACATTTTATCCTCCTATGTTCCATGTTCTTTCATTTAAAGTAAGGAGCTCAAGGGGGCTTCAGAATAACAGAGTTGGAAGGGACCTTGGAGGTCTTCTAGTCCAACCCCCTGCTCAAGGCAGGAGCCTCATATCATCCGAGCCAAATGGCTGTCCAGTCTCTTCTTGAAAAGCTCCAGTGATGGAGCACCCACCACTTCTGGTGGCAAGCTGTTCCACTGGTTAATTCTCCTCCCTGTCAGGAAATGTCTTATTTCTTTCTTCAAAGAGCCTGGATAGCTCAGCAGACTAATGCATTGTAATTTAACTCCAGCTGTCTGCAATTAGTAAGTTAGAATCTCGCCAAGGCTCAAGGTTGACTCAGCCTTCCATCCTTTCTAAGGTAGGTAAATTGAGGACCCAGTTTGTGGGGGCAATAAGCTGACTTTGTATAAAAATATACAAAAGGATGAAGGCTATTGCTTAACGCATTGTAAGCCGCCCTGAGTCTCCGGAGAAGGGCGGCATATAAATCAAATTTTAAAAAAAAAGTTGATCTGAGAGCAGTGATTGGCTCAAAGTCACCCATGATTTCTCTGGTTGACCGTGGATTCAATCAGATTCTCTTAAATCAACAAGTCAACCGCTGAGCTACTGGTGACCCCTTGAATCTCAACAAACATGGAGCCCTGTCCATGGAATTCAACCGTCCCAAGACGATTTGGGAAAAAGAGTTGGAGAAGACGCCACAAACAGTGATTGCAGAGTGGGGTGTTTCAAATAATTTAACAACCGGTTCTCTGCAATAATGACCTGCTGGGTGGGCGTGGCCCTGGTGGGCGTGGCCAGTGGGTGTGGCAGGCAGCCCTCGGCCTCCTGCACCCCCCCTGGGAGCGAAAACAGGCCGCTGGGGGGATGCGCCAACCCCCACATCCCATTTTGAGCCTAGGAGGTATGCATGCAGTCTTGGATTCTCGCTGGGGACACCATCTTCTGGCTGGTTCAGACCAGGGGTGAAATGCTCCCGGTTCGGACCGGATCGCCCGATCCGGTAGCGATGGAGGCGGGTGATTCAGAGAACCGGTAGCAAAAATCCCTGCCCCCCCCAATTGCCCAGCTGAGCCGCACAATCATCAGAGGCTTTTTTAAATTATTTTTAAAAGCATTTTTTCTACAACCTCTTCCGCCGAAAAAATGCTTTTAAAAGTAAAAAAAAAAGCCTCTGATGATCGCGCGGCTCAGCTAGGATCGTCAAAGGCTTTTAAAAGAAAAAAACCCTTTTTTTCTTTTAAATGCCTCTGACGATCCCAGCTGAGTTGCCTGATCGGCAGAGGCTTTTGAAAGCATTTTTTTACAACCTCTTCGGTTGTAGAAAAAATGGTTTTAAAAGTAAAAAAAAATAAAATTGGCCACGCCTACCCAGTCACATTAATCCCCCCCCACCAAGCCACGCCCACAGAACCGGTAGTAACAAATTTTAGATTTCACCACTGGTTCAGACTCTAAGGAGCCTCTCACCTTGTCCTTCAAATCAGTTTTCTGTTCGTGCAAAATCACGGTGAGCTTCACTGCAGTTGCATTCAGGAGGGTCTTCTCGCAGGTCTTCAGGCTACCCACCGTGGACAGCAGGACGTCCACGGGAGAGGCATAGCCAAGTGTGACCTCCGGGCCCTGCAATAAACAAGAAATGGATGGAGATTACAGGTAGTCCTCAACTTACGACCTCAATTGAGCCCATGGTTTCTGTCGCTAAGCGAGACGTTCCTTCGGTGAGTTCTGCCCCCATTTTGCGACCTTTCTTGCCACAGATGTTAAGTGAATCACTGACATTCATAACACGGTTGTTAAGTGAATCTGGCTTCCCCAGATCCCAGAAAAATGGGATCGCGTGACCCCGGGGATACTGCAACCGTCATAAATATGGGTCAATTGCCAAGCGTCCGAATTCTGATCACATGACCACGGGGATGCTGCAACGGTTGTAAGTGCGAAAAACGGCCAAAAGTCACTTTTTTCAGTGCCATTGTAACCTTGAATGGTCACTAAATGAACTGTTTGCAAGGAATATCTGTATTTTTCATCCATCTTTCTCAATCTTAGCAACTTGAAGATAGGTGGACTTCAACTTCCAGAATTCCCTAACCAGTTTGGGATTCTGGGAGTTGGAAGTCCACAAGTCTTAACACTGCCAAGGTTGGATAATCTTTCCTCCCACACCATCATAGACAAATCACTGCAAAGCTGGCTGGGGAATTCTGGGAGTTGAAGTCCACAAGTCTTAAAGTTGCCAAGGTTGGAGACCCCTGTTCTAGACAACTGTTCCCCCATAACACAAAAACTCTAAAGTTTGTTCCCCATCGTTTGGCAAATGCCCCATATTTTTTTGCACAAGTCGCATCCCTATTTTGTGGGGTGAGGATGATGGAAAGGAGCAAGGAACGACTTCCGGATGCTTCCCTTATAAAGCATAAATGAAAGTTACAGAGATAACAGGAAGCATGGCAAAGGAGCGGTGCGGTGACCTAGAGGTGGTGCTCTTGCCTCACAATCAGGAGGTTGTGAGTTTGATCCTAGGTAGAGGCAGATATTTCTCTCTCTGGGCACAATGAGAATATATCTGCTGAACAAAACTCCGCATTGGTGACAGGAAGGGCATCCGGCCAGTAAAACACTCTGCTAGCTTTATTCAGTTGCCCAGACTCCACCTCGCAAGGGATTATGGGGTTGTTAAAAGATAATGATGATGATGACAGGGAGCAGCAGGGACACTCAGGGACAAGTATATCCCAGAAGAAATGCCAATACCTGGGAGCCTTCGTTTTCCTCCTCCTGAGTTGGGCAAGTGACCCCTGATGGAGCCAGGTTCATTCCTTCTCCAGAGGATTTTGGGGCTTTAGTCTTCCTTTCTTCCTGCACCTGAGCAGGTGCCTCCTGATCCACCAGGCTCAGGTCTTCAACCAGTTCTCCAAAAGCAGAACCGTTTGGCTCGGACATCTTCTCCAACTTTGCTTCCTGACCACGGAAGACTTGGTCATCCACGGAGAGAAGACGGTCTGGTTTAACAGCGTCAAACCCAACGTGGACTCCGACAGAGTCTGTCCTTGGTTTGGTCGTTTCCACCCATGCGTTGAGCTCGTCTGTCTTGGTGGACATTTTGAAGACCTTCTCTTTAAGGTTTCTTCTGCAGGACCTGGAAAGGATTTGGAAAGGACTTGGAAAGGATTTGGAAAAAGACTTAGCGGAGGAGCTTATCTCGAGACACGGAAAGGTCAACAGTTCCTCAAAGGCCTCAGAAGTTTCTCCAGGAGGAATAAGAAGGTCTTCCCCTCTCTCAATAAATTTAATGTATTGACCTATGAAAAAATAAAGAAGAAAATGGAGCAGAAGAAGGAAGACATAAATAAAACTCACTCTATTTGGAAGAATAAAGAACATTTGTAGGTCAGGGTTGAAATGAGGCCTCCTTGGTGCTCTAGGTTGTTTTCTTGCAGACATTTTATTACCCAACTAGGTAACAGCATCAATGCTTGAGGTTTATTGAGAGGAGCAGGAGGAGGGCGTGGAGGGAGAGGACGAGGACTGTGCGGTCCTTGGTACTCTCTGAGCTTACTTGTTTTATTGCAAATATTTCATGACCCAACTTGGTAACATCATCAGTGCTAGAAGAGAGTGGGGTTTGTGGAGAGGAGGAGGAGGAGGAGGAGGAGGAGGAGGAGGAGGAAGAGGAGGAGGACTGTGGGATCTAGGGTGCCCTCTGAGCTTGGTTGTTTTCTTGCAGACGTTTCATGACCCTACTTGGTAACATCATCAGTGTTAGAAGGGAGGGGGGTTGAGGAGAGGAGGAGAAATTGGAGGAGGAGGAGGAGTTTGAGGAGGAGGAAGAAGATGAGGAGGACCACTTTTCGTCGGACCCTTAAAACTCACTTATTTTATCTAGCCGGGCTGGCTTGATCCCATCCTTTCGGTTTTAATTTGAAATTGGTTTTAACTGGGTTGTTTTAAATTGTGGGCCGAAATTATTTAATATCTTTTAAACTGTTTTTAAATTTTATATGTTATGTTTTATCTCGGCTGTTCACCGCCCTGAGTCCTGTTGGAGAAGGGCAGTATAAAAATCAAATAAATAAATAAATAAATAAATGGGGTCCTTGGTGCTCTCTGAGCTTAATTGTTCGCTCGCAGATGCTTCATTACCAAACTAGGTAACATCTTCAGTATTAGAAAGGAGTGTTAGAAGCAAACCCCACTCTGTTCTAGCACTGATTGGGTTGCCTAATTTGGGTCATGAAACATCTGCAAGAAAACAGCCAAATTCAGAGTTCACCAAGGAACCCAATTTGGAAGAGGCACTTACAGTATGTCGCTTTTAACCGTCTTATTGTAAGTCTGGTACTGAGGAGTCAATACGAAATGCTTGCATCTACCACTGTTCGTTTTTTAACTGCATTGCTTAAATTATTAAAGGGGATTAACTGTTTTAAACTACAGCATTACCAGAAAGGATGTCCCCTCTTCGTTTGGGCCTGATGAACTTCTTCAACGGAGCAGCTCAGTGTGGACCAAACCAGTGATGAAACCTACTCTCAACATCTGTCTTCTGTCTGTCTTTACCTTGGACATCTTTACAGTGGACAAGATAAATAGTTTGAATCTCTTACTCCTTCCTTGTGGTCCTCATCCTTCCCTTTACGCCATCCTTCCTCTACTCAACTATGCTGAGCATGTGAAACAGAATAACAGAGTTGGAGGAGACCTTGGAGGTCTTCTAGTCCAACCCCCTGCTCAGGCAGCAAACCCACCTAGTGTCAGGTTTCGGTGTCATCTCAAATAAATTGCATTTCCAAACAAATAGTCTTTGATGAAATCTTTCATTTATTAAGCACAACAATCTGTCCCTGATTATGTCGTAGCCAACACTGACTTCCTGACCCCAAAACCTTCCCTTTCCGTTCCCCAATTCTCTGCGTCTCATTGGCCATCTTCCAAATCACTCTCCCCATATCTACTACTTCAGCTCCCAGGAATGTCCCCCCTCCCATCTCATCTCCTAGGGGATATTATCTTCAGGGAAAATAAGTAGGTGAAAAGTCAAGCGTCCTCTTGCCAGCTGCCCCCTCTTCTCCTCCTCATGTCAGCACTGGAACGAATGTAGTTTGGAGTGCTGACACCTAGACCATTTCAGACAAGTGCTTGTCCAATCTCTTCTTAAAAACCTCCAGCGATGGAGCATTCACAACTTCTGGACAGAAGCCAGAATTGTTCTCCCTGTCAAGAAATTTCTCCTTAGTTCTAAGTTGCTTCTCTCCTTGATGAGTTTCCACCCATCGCTTCTTGTCCTGCCTTCTGGTGCTTTGGAGAATCGCTTGACTCCCTCTTCTTTGGGGCAGCCCCTCAAATCTTGGAAGACCACTATCATGTCTCCCCTAGACCTCCTTTTCATTAAACTAGACATACCCAGTTCCTGCAACCGTTCTTCATATGTTTTAGCCTCCAGTCCCCTAACAGCTCTCTAGAAAGGATGGCACCATCGAAATGGGTCTTTCTTAGGAGCTGTCACCAGTCTTCCTGCTTTCCCTCCTTCGGAGAACTTTTCCACCTGGAGAAAGCAAGACCACCACTCTCTGGGTTTTCATCCATTGGGGAGAGAGAGGAGAACTGTTAGCTTTTCAAAGATCTGGAATCATACAATACCATGGCGATTCTCCCATCACCGTGGCTGCTCCAGCAATGAGGTTCAAAGCAGGTGGAACTGAGTTGTAACTGAGGAGATGGCAGGACAGGACCGCAAGATCTTCTCATGAATTGAATCTTCATTCATTCATTCATTCATTCATTCATTCATTCATTCATTCATTCAGAACAGTGTTTCTCAACTTGGAAGCTTGAAGATGGGTGGACTTCAACTCCCAGAATCCCCCAGCCAGCGCTGCTGGCTGGGGGATTCTGGGAGTTGAAGTCCACCCATCTTCAAATTACCAAGGTTGAGAAACACTGATTTAGAACAATTGTATAGCTGTCCATATTCTAACCAGCTCTGAACAGGGCCCAATCTTTTTTCCATGTCCCAGTTCTGTGCTTTCTTTAATCAAGGGAAGAGAAGGTATCTGAGAAAGAAAGAAAGAAAAAAAAAAGAGAAATTGATTGGTTAATGGGCATTTGTGATTTTTTTTTTTAAAAAAATCACATCAATTAACTGAGTGTCCAGGAAATGTAAGTAGCATGAAGAGTGACTGCACTGTACTGTACAGATAGTCAACAGAACAGAATAGAGTTGGAAGGGACCTTGGAGGTCATCTAGTCCGACCCCCTGCCCAAGCAGGAGACCCTACACCATTTCTGACCGAGGGCAGTCCAGTCTCTTCTTGAAAGCCTCCGGGGATGAAGCTCCCACAACTTCTGAAGGCAACTTCTGTTCCATGGGTTGATTGCTCTCACTGTCAGAAAGTTTCTCCTTATTTTCAGGTTGAATCTCTCCTTGGTCAGTTTCCATCTATTGTTCCTTGTCTGGCTTTTAGATGCTTTGGAAAACAGGTTGACCCCCCTCTTCTCTGTGGCAGCCCCTCAAATATTGGAAGACGGCTATCCTGTCTCCCCTGGTCCTTCTCTTCACTAGACTAGCCAGGCCCAGTTCCTGCAACCGTTCATCGTATGTTTTATTTATTTATTATTTATTTATTTAATTTGATTTGTATGCCGCCCTATCTCCAAGGACTCAGGGCGGCTCACAATCAAGAAATCCCAATCCAAGTAAAACATGTGAAAAATACATATTGAACACAGATTAAAACAGATTAAAATAATCAGAACCCCGTCAGTCCAGGTTGGGCAATTTAAACAGCCATGTTTTTAGTTCGTGGAGGAAAGTGCGAAGATCAGGAGCCAACTGGAGCCCCCGGGGGAGTTGATTCCAAAGGGTGGGAGCCCCCACAGAGAAAGCCCTACTTCTGGGGGTCACCAGCCAACATTGTCTAGCCGACAGCACCCTGAGTAGGCCCTCCCTGTGAGAACGCACCGGGCGATGGGGAGCTGTTGCTGGTTGCAGATGGTCCGACAGATATCCTGGGCCTAAGCCATGAAGGGCTTTATAGGTAATCACCGGCACCTTGAATCTCACCCGGAGGGCAACTGGCAGCCAATGCAAGTCGCGCAGGAGACGTGTAACATGGGGGTATCGGGACCCTCCCATCACAACCTGCGCGGCCACATTCTGTACCAGCTGAAGCCTTCGGATGGTCCTCAAGGGCAGCCCCAGGTAGAGAGCATTGCAGTAATCAATACGGGAGGTGACTAGCGCATGAGTAACTGTGCATAGGGCATCCCGGTCCAAATAGGGGCGCAACTGTTGCACCAGGCGAACCTGGGCAAATGCTCCCCTGGTCATGGTTGTTATATGGTCCTCTAAACTCAACCGTGAATCCAGGAGGACACCCAAGTTGCATGCCCTGTCTACAGGGGGAAGCACCTCAGCCCCTATAGCCAAAGATGGAACTTCTCGATCGGACCAGGATGCCGGTACCCACAGCCACTCGGTCTTGGCAGGGTTGAGCCGAAGCCTGTTCCTCCCCATCCAGACCCGTACCGCTTCCAGGCACCGGGACTTCACATTGAGGGCATCACTGGGCTGGGCTGGTTCGTGGTGGATATAAAAAGTCCCCTCATCATCCTGGTTGCTCTTCTCTGCACTCTTTCTAGAGTCTCAACGTCTTTTTTATAGTGAGGGAAGTGCAAAGTTTTGTAAGATAAGGCTCCAGTCCTCTCCACGATCCCTTAAACTTGAGACAGCCGTGTGCGGCGGCAGCCAAAAAAGCTAATTCAATCCTGGGTTGCATAAATGGAGGCATAGGCTCAAAATCGCGTAAAGGATTAGTACCGCTATATAAAGCCTCACTAAGGCCACACCTGGAATATGGCATTCAGTTTTGGTCCCCACATTACAAAGAAGGTGGAGAAAGTGCAAAGAAGAGCAAGTAAGATGATTAAGGGGTCTGGAGACAAAAACATATGAAGGACGGTTGCAGGAATTGGGTATGGCCAGTCTAGAGAAAAGAAGGATTAGGAGTGACATAATAGGGGTCTTCCAGTATTTGAGGGGCTGCCCCAAAGAAGAAGGGAGTCAAACTATTCTTCAAAGCACCTGAGGACAGGACAAGAAGCAATGGGTGGAAACTAACCAAAGAGAGAAGCAACCTGGAATTAAGGAGAAATTTCCTGACAATTAAATCAGTGGAACTACTTGCCACCAGAAGTTGTGGGTGCTCCAACGCTGGAGGTTTTTAAAGAAGAGACTGGGCAGCCATTTGTCTGAAATGGTATAGGATCTGCTGCTTGAGCAGAAGGTTGGACTAGAAGATCTCTAAGGCCCCTTCCAGCTCTATTCTGAATTGGTATTGTCTGCTGTAGTATCCCAAGGTGGGCATCCTTCCTATGCAGGCTTTCCAACCCTCTTCACCAGGGGTCTGACCCACTGCTAGCTGCCCCCTTGCAAACGCTTCACGCACCCACACACCCTTTTGCAAAGAGGTTCAGGCCAGCCCCTCTTTTTCTCTGGAGGTTTTCAAGAAGAGATTGTCTGCAATAGTATAGTGTTTCCTGCTTGAGCAGGGGGTTGGACTAGAAGACCTCCGAGGTCCCTTCCAGCTCTATTCTGATTGATGGATGGATGGATGGATCTGGGTCTGGTGGGCTTCTCCAGAGGCCCATTGGAGAACTGAAGGAGGACAAAGGTGGGCAGGAGAGGGACGTGGGGCCGATGGGACACTTCAGATCTTCTGACTCAAGCATGGAAGACCTTGGATTCTGGAGACCCTCCAAAAGACGCTCCCCCCCACACCCCCCAAGGAGACCCATGGGCCAACGTGGCAGCTCTGGACCCGGCTGGATGGGCAGGAGAGGAAAGGGATGGTCTGAGCCGGGAGGGTGGTGGGGCAGCCCTTGCGTGGCACCCCGGCTCAACCCCGGCATATTCCAAGACCCCATTTTGGGGGGGAGGCAAAGGGGCTTTTTTTTTCTTCCTTTAGGGTGGGGGGGGGACCCATAGACCCAGAAATGGGGTGTGCCCCGGTGACCCCCACCCCAGAGGGGCATCTGCCAAGCCTCCCTCCCTGAGCTTCCACAACTGGGCACCGCTGGGTGCAGGTTCTCCGGCCGCCTGCAGGGGTCGCCCTTCACCGCTGCCCTCCCCCCCCCCCTCCCCGCTTTTCCCTCCTCCTCCTCCTGCGCTGCTCCGCTCCTCCCTTCCCCAAATTCCTCCCTTCCTCCCGAGTCTTTCCGGCCGGGCGCCGCGGCGTTTCCTCTGCGCCTCCATTGCAGCCGCTGCAGAGACCCCCGCCCGCCCCCGCAATGCAGCCCCTGGGCGGCCCCCGGACGGGCTGAGCGGAGACGGAGCCCCCCCGCCCCCCCCCGGCCCAGCAGGAGGAGAGAGAGATGCTCCCGTGAAGGAGCCAGGAGGTGGGTATCGCCCGGCTCCCTTTCCCCTCCTTTCCTCCCTTCCCTCCTTCTTTTCTTCCTTTTCTCCCTTTCTCTCTCCCCCTCCTTCCATCCCTTCTTTCTCTCATCCCTCCTTCCTCCCTCCCTTACCTTTCTCTCTCTCTCTCCCTCCCTCCTTCCTTTTCACTTCCCACCTTCTTTTCCTTCCTTCTCTTTATCCCTTCTGTCCTTCTCTCCCTTTTATTCCTATGTCCTCACTCCCTCCCTTTCTTTTTTTCCTTCCTTCTTTCTTTTTTTCTTTCTCTTTCTCTCTCTCTCTTTCTCTTTTCTTTCACTCTCTCTCTTCTTTCTTTCTTTCCCTCTTTCTTTCTGTCTTCCTTTTTCTTTCTCTTTCTTTCCCCCCTCTCTTTCTTTCTTTCTTTTTCTCTCTCTTCTTTCTTTCTTTCTCTCCCTCTTTCTTTCTCTCTTCCTTTTTCTTTCTCTTTCTTTCCCTCTCTTTCTCTCTTTCTTTCTTTTTCTCTCTCTCTCTTCTTTCTTTCTCTTCCTTTTTCTTTCTCTCTTCCTTTCTTTCTTTCTCTCTTCCTTTTTCTTTCTCCTTCTTTCTCTCTCTCTCTTCTTTCTTTGTCTCTCTTCTTTCTTTCTCTTCCTCTCTTTCTCTCTCTCTTCCTCTTTCTTTCTCTTTTTTCTCTCTCCTTTCTTTCTTTCTCTCCCTTTCTTTCTTTCTCTCTTCCTTTTTCTTTCTCCTTCTTTCTTTCTCTCTCTCCTTTCTTTGTCTCTCTCTCTTCTTTCTCTTTCTTTCTTTCTTTCTTTCTTTCTTTCTTTCTTTCTTTCTTTCTTTCTTTCTTTCACTCTTATGTGTAAGATGATGACCCTTTTCAAATTCTCCCTCAGGGGACAGAAGGGGAGTACCCTCACCCTTGGAACCTGCCTCGGTCTCCCACCCAACCCCCATCGCCAGGGCCCCCCTGGCCATGTGCTGAGAGATGTCCCTCTCCAGGCTGAACAGCTTCACCAATGGCTTCCTGGAAGACCCCTCCCGGATGGAGGCGGCCAACGGGGCGGATATGGCCCAGGTTCTCAAGTGCTTGGAGATGGGCACCATCCTGACCTTGTTCTACCAGAAGAAGTCCCAGAGGCCCGAACGGAGGAGCTTCCAAGTCCGGCCGAAGAGCCGTCAGATCGTCTGGAGCCGAAGCCCTGAGAAGGTGGAGGGGGACGGTGAGTGCCGGGGTCTCGGGGCTGGTGGGAGCAGGAGAACCAACCCAAAGAAGGGACTGACCCAACCTATGGAGGCCTCCTCAGATGGGGCCTCCAGAGCTGTTGGGACTTCACCTTCTGGAACTCCCAGCTGGAACCCAGAACCTGGAAGTCCAGGAAGGGTAGTTTCCACACAGCTGCTGTGATCTTCCTTCAGAAGAAACGGAGAAGGAGAAGACCTCGCTCTATCTCCCTTCCTGCCATTCTTCTCCAGAAGGTTTCCTCCTGGCCTGCAAGGCTGATCCCGCCATTCAGTGTCCAAGGGTGTGATTCCTTCCCATCCTCTCCATTGTCAGGATTTTTGGCTCTGGGCTTTAGGTTATGAACCCTTTTGGGGGGCGGAAAAATCTGAATTAACTTTAAACTATTGAGCCCCAAATTGAGGTTGCTAAGTGAGACCGTTTGTTCAGCGACTCAGTGTACGATCTTCCTTGCCGCCGTTGTTAAGTGAATCGCTGCGGTTGATAGGTTAGTAACCCGGTTGTTAAGTGAATCGGGCTTCCCCCTTGACTTTGCTCGTGAGAAGGTCGTAAAAGGGGATCGTGTGACACTCTAACCGTCATAAATATGAGTCAATTACCAAGGGTCTGAAGTTTGGTCACGTGACCATGGGGACGGTGCAGACGTCGTACGTGTGAAAAACGGTCGTAAGTCCCTTTTTCCAGTGCTGTTATAACTTCGAATGGTCACTAAACGAACTGCTGTAAGTTGTAATGTTTCTCAACCTGGGCTACTTTAAGAGGTGCGGACTTCAACTCCCAGAATTCCCCAGCCAGCACAGCAGTTCATTCATCACTAAACGGTCACTAAATGGACTGTTGTAAGTCGAGGACTCCCTGCACATCAGTCAAGAGTTGTCCAATCAATTTTGGCCTGGGTGGATTCCTTGATTCCTCATTTTCGTACACACAACAGAGACCATACCTCACCCTTTTTAAGCGGAAGGAAAGCCAAACTCAGTTCAATTGTTTGCAAGGATATACACATATCTCTGACTTCCTCGGATGTAATATAGAGGCCGTGCGCCATTCTTCGACAATGATCTTGTGACTTCTGAATCTGGCCTACCACCAGGGAAGGAAAGAGAATTATTTGCGTTTAATGACTTAATGCATACCTCTGTTTTAAAGCAAGGATGTCTGACCTTGGCCCCTTTAAGACCTGTGGACTTCAATTCCCAGAATTCATTGCTGGCTGGGGAATTCTGGGAGTTGAAGTTCACAAGTCTTAAAAGTGGCCAACGTTTAGAGCCATATTGGTGGGCACGTGAGCTCAAAAACGGGCCTTCCGGTCCCACTGGAAGTCAGCAAACGGGCCGTTTCTGGCCTCCAGAAGCCCTCCGGGTGGGGGTAGGGAAGGCTGTTTTTGCCCTCCCCAGCTCCTAGAAAGGCTCTGGAGCCTGGGGAGAGCGAAAAATGGGCCTACCGGGCCCACCGGGCCATTGTGTGCCAAAAGTGGGGGCAGCGCGTGGGGGTTAAATTAGAGTTATAACTCTGCAAATCAGAATAGAATCTGAATACAGCTGGAAGGAACCTTGGAGGTCTTCTAGTCCAACCCCCTGCTCAAGCAGGAGATTCTATAATATTTCAGACAAGTGGCTGTCCAGTCTCTTCTTAAAAACCTCCAGTGATGGAGCACCCAAACTTCTGGTGGCAAGCTGTTCCACTGGTTAATTTTTCTCACTTAGGAAGTTTCTCCTCAGTTCCAGGTTGCTTCTCTCCTTGATCAGTTTCCATCCATTGTTTCTTGTCCTGCCCTCTGGTGCTTTGGAAAATAAATTGAATAAATTTATTTATTTTTATTTATTTTTTAATTTGATTTATATGCCGCCCTTCTCCAGAGACTCAGGGCGGCTTACAATGCGCTAAGCAATAGCCTTCATCCTTTTTGTATATTTATACAAAGTCAGTTTATTGCCCCCACAATCTGGGTCCTCATTTTACCTACCTTAGAAAGGATGGAAGGCTGAGTCAACCTTGAGCCTGGGGAGATTCGAACTTGTAGTAATTGCAGGCAGCTGGTCTTAATAACAGGGTGCTTTAGACCACTGTACTACCAAGGCTCTTTAATTAATTCATTTATTAAGAATAAAAGATCCACAGGGAAATAATAAATTATTTTGCCTAGCTTGGAACACGTATGGCAAACTTACAACAGCAAAGAGGCTGTTAAAAAGATGTGGCTGTGTGAAATTCCCAGATTTGACAAGAAGCAATTAAAGATTTTGCAAATTAAAGATTTTGCAAATGGTTTGTATTTTTGCTTCCCAAAAATACGAACAGGTTTTGTACCTTCCCTGTAGGTCCTTGTGTTTACCTGTATTGTGGTAAATTCATGTGAGTGTTGCAGATTTGGTGGCACCCAGATTTCATAATTAACTAAAGCACAGGTAGTCCTTGACTTACAATGACAATTGAGCAATTACGTGTGAGACATTGGTTAAGTGAGACATTGGTTAAGTGAGACATTTGAGAGACATTTGTTAAGTGAGTTTTGCCCCGTTTTACGACCTTTCTAGCCATAGTCGTTAAGTGAATTGCAGCAGTTGTTAAGTAATATGGTTGTTAAGGGAATCGGTCTTCCCCTTTGACTTTGCTTGTCAAAAGGTCACAAAAGGAGAACACAAGACCTCAGGACACTGCGACTGTCATAAATATGAGCCAGTTGCCAGGTGTCATGAATTTTGATCACGTGACCACAGGGATGTTGCAATGGTCGTTAAGTGTGAAAAATGGTCATAAGTCACTTTTTTTCACTGCCGTTGTTAACTTCAAACGGTCACTGAATGAATTGCTGTAAATTGTAATGTTTCTCAACCTGAGCTACTTTAAGAGGTGCGGACTTCAATTCCCAGAATGCTGGGGAATTCTGGGAGTTGAAGTCCAGCTGGCTGGGGAATTCTGGGAGTTGAAGTCCAGCTGGCTGGGGAATTCTGGGAGTTGAAGTCCAGCTGGCTGTCTGCTGGCTGGGGAATTCTGGGAGTTGAAGTCCGCACCTCTTAAAGTGGCTCAGGTTGAGAAACACCGCTTGGAGTCTAGATGCGTGGCACAAGCGACACCACCACAATGACATCATAACGATGTGACATCACCACAATAAGGCCACACAACTCGAGTGACGTCCTCTTAAAGAGACCCCCTGCCTAATTTGGTCCTCCAGCTCATTTTGCCTGCTGAAGAGGAGAGCCAGGGCGTGTGTTCCTTCATTAACACACGGTTGTGTGTTCTTTAACTAGCCCGGAGGTTTGTTGTGATAATTGCCGCTCTGACTCTCGGAAAACGGTGCCTGGCCACGGTTTGCCGGTTTGCCTGCCGATCGCCGTCACGGAGGGACGATGCCTCCCTCGAAGCTCGGCTAAACCCCGATGCGGTAGCAAGTGATCCAAGCTGCTGCCTTCTCAAGGCTTGTGAGAGCAACAGAGTTGTGAGAGTGCAGCTGTGGAGCCACCACTGTGTCGCACCCATGCTGGTGTCGTTGGCACGATGACACGGGGGGGAACAATGCGCGACGTTCCTCCCTCCGTCGTCCGTGAGGCTGTGTTGCTTTCCAGCTGTCCTTTCCAAGTTGTGCGTTGCCCGTTTGAAATTCCTTGCTCACTCGGGAAGAGAGAGCTCCGTCTCGTTCGGCTGGCTGGCTGGCTGGGGATGATGGGGGTTGTGATGCAGCAGAGAGCCAGAGGTTGGTAGATTTGTTCAGGTGAATGCAATGGAGAGGTTTGGTTTTGCCTGTGAGTCCAACACTGGTGTTGATGCCAATTTGAGGAGCCAATGAGAGAGTGGATGTTTTGGGATGGGCTTCCGGCTCCTTCAGTCTCTTGTGGACATAACAGAGTTGGAAGGGACCTTGGAGGTCTTCTAGTCCAACCCCCTGCTCAAGCAAGAGACCCTAAAAAATTTCAGACAAATGGCTGTCCAGTCTCTTGAAAAACCTCCATCGATGGAGCATTCACAGCTTCTGGTGGCAAGTAGTTCCACTGATTTAATTGTTCTCACTGTCAGGAAATTTCTCCTTAATTCCAGGTTGCTTCTCTCCTTGAAGAGTTTCCATCTGTTGCTTCTTGTCCTGCCTTCAGGTGCTTTGGAGAATAGTTTGAACCCCCTCCTCTTCTTTGGGGCAGCCCCTCAAACATTGGAATGTGATATCATGTCACACACCTAGCCCTTCTCTTCTGAAGTTATACAGAATGACAGAGTTGGAAGGGATCTTGAAGGTCTTCTAGTCCAACCCCCTGCTCAAACAAGAGACCCTATACCCGTGATGGCAAACCTATGGCACGCGTGCCCAAAGTGGCACGTGAAGCCATGTCACCCGGCACATACAGCCTTGCCTGTTTGTCTTCTGGGATTCTGACACGCGTGCTGTCCTTCGTGCGTGCAGCAGTGCCGAAAACTGGTGTGTGCATGCACGCTGGCCAGCTGATTGTCGGGTGTGCATGCGTGCCATAACCCGGAAGTTTGGCTTTTCCGGAGCGCGATTCCTTCGCGTGCACGGCAGTGCTGAGAACTGGCCTGTGCATGCCAGCTGATTGTTGGGCACGTATGCGTGCTAGAACACGGAAGTTCGGCTTTTGCAGAGCACGGCCCTGATGAGCGTGCACGCAACGTTTCCACACGATTCACCATCATTGCCCTAAACCATTTCAGACAAATGGCTCTCCCAGGGGATGAGCCTTCTCTGTGGGGGCACCTACCCTGTGGAACGAGCTGCCCCCGGAGATTCGTCGGATTCCCGACCTTCGTACCTTTCACCGCGCCCTTAAAACACTATTATTCCATCAAGCAGGACTGGCCTAAAGTATTATTTTTAATGGGTTATTTTATGTTATTTTAGATTGTGGGCCAAACTATTTAATAATTTTAAATTGTTTTTTTTTAATTGTTTTAAAAAACAAGCATTTAAAGCATTTAAAAAATGCTTTAAATTGTTTTTAACTTATATATTGTTGGTTTTTATCTTGGCTG